TATCTGCATGTTTCATTGCAGTTGTTAAAGCAATATCTGTTCTTGCACCTGGGTCAGCACTTTGGTTTCCAACTTCACCTGCAAAGTCTTTGACAGATATTTGGTGTATAGGGAACATAAGTGGAACTGCAATATATTTGGCAGCTAAAGCATTTGAAATATCTGGGTCCAACATATAGACTGCAAGTCTGCTTTCTATTCTCTTGCATTCAAATTTTTCGCATGTAAACTTAACTGGGTCCCAAGCAGTTCCAGCAGCATTGAAATAATAGTTTACTTCAGTGTTGAAGTTTGAGAAACCAAAGTCTAAGTCAACTTTGTCTTTGCAAAAGTCACAGAACTTGGCTCCACCAGTTCCAGCTACAGTAATGCTGAATGGGTCTTGTGTTGGTGCAATGACTAAGTTATTTTTGCTTGGAGTAAGTTCAATAGAAATTTTTCCTGCCCAGTTTGGCAAGTATCTTAAAAACCTGAAGATGAGGAAAGATGACAAAGGAACTCTAAGTTTCAGTTTTACTTTAGTGGCAGCAGTTCCATCTGAACCAGAAAGGTTAACATAAACTCCTGGAACGTTAGGGTCAAGTCTCTTATTTTCTCAATAGTTGCATATTGGTCTGTTTGTTCTCTAGCTTGTGGTTGTACTGAGTTTCTCAAAGCGAACCATTCATAGTTTGCCCATGTTACTGTTTGAACTAAGTCAGAGTTAGAATATATCTTATATCCATGAAAACTTCTGGAGCATATTGGTATCCGACATAGAAAATTCCATTGCAACCTTTCTTGTCAGACAACTTGGCAGAAGGCTTTATTTCAATGTCTTGTTCCACGTATAAGAATGAGTTGTCAATAGAAATAATATGAAACCTGTCGCAAGCAATATCTACTGTTGTTGAAGAACCTTCTCCAAACTCACCTACGTTTCCATAAGAAACAGCAGTTGTATATTCGTAAGTTCCAGGAACTATTTCTGACCTTCTAATGGCATTGTCGCATTCGTTATACCATTCAGAAACATTTCCGTTCATGGCATCCAAAACTGTTGGCGTTATATTCTGAGCGGCGTACATTTCATATGGGTAAAAATATAGAATAGTTGGATTTATGTGTCATATAAGAAACCCATTCGTACCAAGCTTTACTTTCTTCCTGACTGAGTTTTGTTGCATCTTTGCCTCATGTTCACCTAGTATGTTGTAAATTTCCCATGTCCTTTTGCCTTTGGGCTCTGGTCGCCCATCTCAGGTAACCTATATCCTAGAAAGATTTCGTCATAGTTTGTATTTGAGTCTTCGCGTATTGTTTGCATGACTCTTTTCTGAGTTTCCGGTTCAAGCTCTTCAAACAGAGCTTGTCCATATGGAATAAGCTCGTTTCCAAATATATGTTTTTGTAGCCATTCTGGTTTCTTTCCATGTAACCAATAATATCTTTTGTGAATGGGAAAGCTTTTACCCAATGTTCCAGTCTTGCGTCATTTATTTCTGTAGTTTGGTTTTATTTTGTCAAGGAACATGTTTTTCAATACTAACATTTCATTTGGTACTGTCCATTTGAGTTTTCTTAAATATTCATCCCTTCTCGATTCATTGTTTGCAAAGTAAGTTTTTATGACATTTTGCAAACTTTCATTTGCAAGGTCATGTACAATAGGTTCTCTTCCTTCTCTCTCCCTAACTCTCTTTCTAAACTCTTCACCAAATATACCATCTCTATGGTTCTGTGTAGTTCTTTGAGATAAATGTTTTAGAACGTCAGGTGTTATATTTCCATCAGCCATGTTCATTTCATACTGGTCCAAAATATCTGCATCTTTCATATCTTTCAATGGCATTAAAGCCGCGCTGAAAATACTAGCTATATCTGGTTCACCATTCGCTTCCATTGCGTCTACAACTTCTTGGAATTGTGGTTGTAAGTTTATGAACCACCTATCCGGATTAGCTTTATGACCCCATCTCATTGTAGTTCCATAGTCTGCAGAAACAAAAGTAGGTTTGTTTCCATCTTGGTTAGGTTCTGAATGAACTTTAAACAATGTTTCATTTCTATATGTTTTGTTGAAATTTAACCTTTTATTTTCACCGAGTTCATCCAAAGATTGAACGTTATATGCTCGTAAGTAAAAAGGATTGTTGTATTTGCGTACATTTTCTTTCAGTTCTTCCATTCTATGCTGAATATTTTCATCTGATGTTGGAGTCTTTTGTATGTCGGCGAACATTTTTCGATATTCTTCTACTATGTCAGCCGAATTTTGCTTAGACTTTTGGAAAGATTCCATATTCTCCGCATACTCTTGTTGAGGGTCAAGATTTTTCGGCTGTTCCAAATCTTCATCTAGTTCTGTGAAGTTAGTTTCCAAAGGAGGGACTTGTTCGTTTCCTTCAGGCTCTTCTAGCTGTTGTTGCTGAACTATTTCTTCCATGTCTGGTTGTATCTGAACTTCTTCCTGTGGAGTTTCTTGTACCTCATCTGCTGGCATTTCATATATTCCGAGACCGTTTTTAACAAGTTCCCTATTTAAGTCATCCGCATTCATAACCCTTTCTTCTTTCGTTCCGTCTCTATTTTTTACGCGTTTCATGAAGATAGTTGAATTATCATTTATCTCTGACACCAAATATCTCGGAGTAAATTCATCCATGTCATTTGGATGATATGCTATTAAATCATATCCCTTAGCGAGCTTGTATTTTCCAGGTTTGAAATTATATCCCATTTGGTGCTGAACCATAAAGCTAAATAGGTTCGGGTCAGTATTTCCTTCCTTGAACTTTCTAATAGCTTCTTTATATCTGTCACTAAAGTCAAGAGTATCTGGGTAATCATATTCTTCCTTAAGCATTTTTAAGAATTCTTGGTTTCCTTGTTCTCTACTTCTTTTATGTCCTTGCTCTGTTTGTGCTGGTTGTGGAGGTGGTTGTTGTGCTGGTTGTGGAGGTGGTTGTTGTGTTGGTTGTTGTCCTTGCTCTGGTTGTTGTTGTTGTGCTGGATTTTGAACTGTTGGTTGTTGTGTTGGTTTTGGTGCATGCCTGTGTCTGTGTCCATGTGACGATGTAAATGTTTTAGGTAGTCCTGGTGCAGGTGCTTCTCTTGGAGGGTTTGGTGGTATATAAGTTCCACTAGCTAGTATATAAGTTCCACCAGCTGGTATATAAGTTCCACCAGCTGGCACATATGTTCCATCTGCAGCATAATGTCCTACCTGACTTTTCGTTTTTAAGAAAGCATTTACTAGGTCTGTTTTGGTCTGTTGTAACTCTTTTTCTTGACTTTCCACAACAGTTGCTCTAACGGCGTCATAGGCACTTTGAACTGCCTGTCTCGTTGCTGCATCTGTTATTTTCGTCATATTTTGTGCTACTTCTCTTAACTCTTTGTCGAAACCTTCAGACTTCAGTTTCTTTCCAGATGAGAAGTCGTTCACTTGTTTCACCTTACTATGAAGAGCTTCGAAGGCATTCTTAAAGTCGGCATTCATTAAAGCTTCATTTGAACTGTCTTCATCCGCTTGTATTTTTGTCCTTATTGACCCTATAAGTTGGGCTGCTTTGGCGTTGGCTTGGGCATCTAACCAGTCATTATTAGCTTTTATATATTCTGCGCTTTTCATTGCCTTTTGCATGGCTGCGTCGTTATTTTTACTTTCTTGTGCTAAGTTTTCATACTGTACGGTTTTGGTTTTGCAACTGTAAAAGTTTTTCTGCCTTTACATTTGCTTCAACTTCTTTTTTATACTCATCGCTATCCATATATGTCTTCATGGCTTTTTGTTTTATTTCTTCATCTTTCAGTACTTTATATTGAGTAGTATGGTTTTTCAAATTTATAACATCTTGTTCCATTTTTGCTACTTCTGCTGCTTTTTCTGACACTTTTTTCGCATATTCCTCTGTACTTAGTTCTTTCAGTTGTTCTTCTTTCTTCTTTTTCTCTACGTTTAACTCATTGAGTTTCTTTGTGTGTCTGTCATATTCTAGTTTCTTTTCGTTTTCACTTATTTGTTTCTGTATGTCTATGTTTGACTTTTTGACATCTGTTATTTGATTTTTGAGTGAACTCAAATTCATTTGACTTTGAGGGTTATAAGCTGTTCCGTCTGCAGCTCCACCATAGCCTGCCATTTTCGCTAAAAGTGCCGCTCTTAAACCTCCACTCTGTGCACCAATAACTCGGTTTAAAAGCATAGGGTTGCTTGACATTTGTTGCAACATAGTGGGGTCATTCATCATTTGTTGTTGCAACTGTTGTTGTGGTGTCAGTTTTACTATTGGATGTTTCAATGCTCCCTTCCTCTTACGTATATTCTTACGTAGCTTACGTGGCATTTTAAGTGAAGTAAAAAACGGTTTTTGACAGATGTTTATATGACACCATTAATATGATGTAAATAACAACGGTTTTGGTTTTGTCACCGGCTGGTCGGCTGGGGTTCGGTCCTCCTCTTGGGTCTTGGGCAAAATTCTTAGGGCTAGAGGGCACGAAGTGCCTGGAAGCCCCACTTCCTTTTTTTTTTTTTTTTTTTTTTTAAGGAAAATCTCGTAAAGATTTTGAATATAATTCAATTCCAATACTTAATGTAATCGAATTTACATCCAATGCTGATCATTAATCAGTAAATTTGGATTTTCAGATACATTCAAAAAGCAAATCAATAAAATCAGAAGATTTTCATTTAACATATAGTATTTGTAGTGGTAGGATAATTGCTATGATTAATTTTTATGTGTAGTCTCAATATATAAATTCAGAAGAATTGAACATTTACCATGTAATCTGTACTACAAAAAATTGTTTCTTTTGTACTTGTTTTGTGATAAAAAATTTCATGGAAATAGGGAGTATAGAGGAACGACCATTTAACTAAGATTTAATAACTTTAATGTAAATACAATAAGTTGTTCTTAGAATTAGGTAGTTTAATTTTGAATAAAATAAAATGTAAATTTGAAACTGTAAAATAAAAATAATATGTTTAGTAGTTGAGCCTGTAAAAAACTTTATGCATTTGGAAGACCTTTGAACATATCAAACATAGACTGTTCTGGAAGATAAAAATCAAGGGCTTTTGTGATAGCTTCTTTGAGCCATGTGTTAGTAAGCATGAAAACAAAGAAGAATGAGGCATCTGATAAGTCTTCAGTCTCAAGATCTCTATGTGTCAAGAATTTGAGAGAAGATGTAACTTCAAAAGGAAGTTTGAGGCAAACTTTGTTCTTGAAGTAATCTTTGAGCATAAATGGAATGAGCCATGGAAGAATGCCGAGAACCATTTTTGGAAGCATGACTGCTTGGCTGATATCTTGTGATATTTTACCAATTTCTATTTCCAATTTCTTAATACGCTTTGCATTCTTCTTCTCTGTTTCTTCATCATCATTTGATTCTGCCTTTAATTCGTTTAACTGCTCAGTTTTTTGAGAATGTAATTTTTTGAGCCTTTGAACATTCTCTTTCCTATAAATAAACACCCAACTAAGGAAATTGATGAGAACAGAGTTGGCAGCACCACATAAGAAAGAAAGGGCAAGGTTGGTAATGAGTTGATTTACCATTGCCAAAAAAAATTTTTTTTTGAACAGATGGTTTTACATATGGGTTATTTTTATTCAATGATTAAAGAGAATTCATATACACATACAAAACTTTTATAATTTTGGTAATTCGATAATCATTCATCAAAGCATTTTTTCTAATGATCAAATTTGAGGATTTATTGTCATTTAGATAAACTCCATTTGAATTATGACATTGGGTCATCACAACCCTTTGATTTTTAAAGAAATATATTACAATTTGGAACTATATTTTTACAAATACCTGATTACTTCATATAATAATTCAAATAATACTAAGCCTAAAGCCAAGTTAGTAATATAACATACAGTTTATAAACAAATAAAGGAAAATAAAAATATATAAAATATTAATCAAATCATTGATAAGAAAACTTAGAAGGCTAGAATACATTCTGAAAAATTTTCTATTGTATAACAACATTAGGCTTTCATTAAGTATATTTCAATTTAATTGCTCAAATTCGTTTTTGAGGGAGCCAATATCCCCTTGAAGGGAGTTAATACAATTAAGCAAATCATCAGCATCAAGTAAATCTTCAGGACTATCTTGAATTTGTTCTTTTTGTGGAACTTGTTGATTGTTTGGTTCAGTATCTTGGTATATCTTCTTATATCTACTCTCTATCACTTCAAGCGTATTAACGTAGTTCATTATTTTATCTCGTTCACTCTTGTATTGCTTAGCTTTTTTGGTGGCAGTTTTCAGCACAGATTCAGCTTTTTTCAAAAGTTCCTCACATTTGTGTCGCTTTTCTTCTGATTCAGTATATTTAGTTTCAAAATCTTTAATTTTCTTTTGAAGATCATCAATAATTTTATCTTTGTTTTGAGTATAAATGGTATTATATTGAATCTTTGATGAAAGTTGCTGCTTTTCTGATTCCAATCTCTCTACACAGGATTGGAGATGAGCTATATCTAAAGATAATTGAGCTTCCTTATCTTGATTTTGAGAAGTTATGACTTTAATTGTTTCGCTATATTCTTTAGCCCGTAATTTTTCATTCTCAAGGTTTTTAACGTATTCAATAATTTGCCCAACTGAAGATAGTGATTTATTTGAAACTTTTGATATGGATTTATATAGTTTACGCTGAAATTTCTTCTGTTTTTCAATTTCGTTGCAAAGTTCTTGATTATTTTGGCGGGCTTTTACCAATTCTTGTCGAAGTGTTAAATTTAAAGATATCTCTGTTTTGAATGATTTAAATAGTGTCTGTAGAATAATAAATGACTTGGATTTTCCGGATGAATTTTCATGCTGTTGAATAAAATTTTCAACATCTTGTGCTTGCCGTATTATTGCAGTTTGTAATTCACATAAATTTTGTTTAAGATTTGAACATTCCGTCGAAAAAGAATCTGTTGTCGAAACCGAGTCTACTTCGGAATATTCAATCATTTATCAAAAAAAATGGACGTTTATTTGAGTCAGCATCGAAACTAAAAAGTGTTCAATTCTCATTAGAAAATCTATTAAAGCATGTCTAATGTGTTGGTCCCGTAGTGTAGCGGTTATCACTTGGGACTTTGAATCCCGAAATCCAGGTTCGACTCCTGGCGGGACCAAGCTTTTTGCTTATTTATTTATTATGCTGGATAATCAAATTTATTGTCTGTTGAAAGAAAAGCTTATTTTTAATAACGTCATCTTTTCATGTTGAGGCTCAATCTTGAAAATTACATGAACTTTTATCCAATTTTTTTCGAATGTGATTAACAGACCTAAATTGACTATTCATTTCAATCAATAAATAAACCTGCATATTACGTTCATCCATTATTTCCATCAAACTCACTTATTAAAAACAATTGTTTCAAAATTTAAATTCAAAAGCAAATTCTCAAGTTGCATAATTAATGTTTACTTGCATTAAAATTATTTAAATCTACTCTCTACAAGAATCCTCACGATTTCTTTAGAGCAATCATCATTTGTCTCATACTTTAAAGCATAATCAAGTGGAGTTTTTCCGCGCAAATTAGGTTGGTTTGTTTCTACATGTGCTTCTAAAACCAAGTACTTTACAAGTTCGAAATGTCGTCTAATTGTTGCCCATGTCAACGGTGAATTTCCTTTCGAATCTTTTGCTTCGATATCTGCTCCAAGCGATGCCAAATATTTCACAATTTCGAGATGCCCACTGAATGCTGCCCACATAAGTGGAGTTAATTTATCTTTGTGATCCTTAACATTATAATCTGCACCAATAGAGACGAGATATTTTATCACATCCAAATGTCCATGATTTGCCGCACATGTGAGAGGTGTGTATCCTAATTTATTTTTCGTTTCTTTATCGAATCCGATAGAGATCAAATATTTAACAATATCTAGTTTCCCATTATATGATGCGATGATCAATAGATCAGAACCATATTTGTTCTTTGAACTCTTGTTGCAGCCGCATTCTATAAGGGATTTCACAAGATTAAGATTTCCTTTTTCGATTGCAACACGAACAACAGTATCTCCGTTATTGTTTTTCTTTTCGCTGATTTTTTCTTTACAAGATTTTTTCATGACTATTTGATTTCCTTTTTCTGAAAGATTTTCAAAGAATTTGTAAATTAAATCAAAATCTTTTGATTTTTTATATTGAGATAAATATGATTTAAGAAAATCATTACTGTGACTGATTCTTTTCAGATCTTCGTTTTCTTCCCTTAGTTTTTGAACAGATTCTTCAAGATTATTAATTCTTTTTTCAAAATCATTATTGGTGTTGTAATTTTGTTCGATCAATTTAATGATATCATTTAAGACTTTTAATTTCAGGCATTTCTTCATTGCTTTCAGAATAATAATTGCATCTTGAATATTCGTAATTGATGAAGTAATATTTCTGAAATATCTGTACAATTTAGATGTGCTAACTCGCTTCATACCATCCTTAAGAAGAGCAACGAAATTTTCAGCTGATAATTTATTTGACTTGAAAATGTCTTTCATATCTGCAATTTCAAATATATCAAAAAACATTCCATTGTTAATGTACTCCCTGATGGAAGAGACAATGAACTCTGAGTTTCGAATCAGCTCAATTTCTTTCTCCATTTGAAATAGCCGACCATTTTTAAGGGTATAGTCCACTAAAAATTTTTAAGTTTTGACAATGAAAATAAGCTCTGTGACCATGTAAATATATATCTATGCAAAACGAGAGGTTATGCCATAATTTTTTTAGTTATCAAATTTTCCTTTTTTTGAGAGAAGTCTCTCAATAATTTGAGAAGAATCTTTGATATAAAGAGATACACATTTGTAGAACGAAGTAAGTGTTTTCCAAACATTTTATATGTTCATCCTGTATAACAATATAAAGCTGCATAGTGCCATCTTGTGCGTTTGCTATTTTATGTACTTTTCATTGAGATAATCCCTCTTCTCGGGTGATTTTAACAGTCAACTCAATTTTAAAATAAAGATTTCATCAAAATGATTTCGAAATTCGGATATTGATTATATAAATAGCACTGTTAACATATTTTGGATGAGTAAAAAATACCTTGTTTTGTATGCATTTAGTACACCTTTATTTTTGATTAAAACTATAAAATTTTTATTCCTTATATAATAAATAGTATATGTTACATAAACATGAAATTCAATAGCATTCAATTTTGGATTTTTTAGATTTGGTAAATTTTAGAAGAAATAAAATCAGCAATCAAAATAAAGAAACTTTTTTTGTATCTTCTATGATTACCTTTTGGTACTAAATTTTGCATTAATAAGTAAATTATCTGTATTATTCTGTGAGCACAAGCCCTCAGTTATGCTGGTAGTGAATGAGGAATCGTCATTTTGCGAAGAGAATGCGATTATTAAGGTAATTTTGAGAATTGTCTTGAATTATTTAAAATTAAAGTTAATTGAATAGGTAGGATAACTAGCCTTTGCTAAATTTGTATAATTTGACCTTATTCTAGTTGGATCTGAGAATATTTTGCTGAAATAATAAATTATATCGCCGATTTATGAAAATTTCTCTGATGGGACCGACTCGCTGAAACGTATTAGTGTTAATGGTAACTTGTCTGAATTTTCAAATTTTTTTCGAAATCCAAAAAATCACAAACAAAAGCATCAAAATTAGATTTGCATTTAAGGTTTTCATTTTTTTTTTGGAAAATAAAAATATTTTTTCCCCAATAAAGTTTTTTTTACTTTTGAGAGGAATAGAAACGTTATTTTGGAATTTTGAAACGACAGAAATGTTCCATTTTTAATGTAGATTCTAAAATGTGGTCAAATTTTTGATTGAACCGTTATCCATTGAAAAACCTCGATTTTAAAATGTTATTCCAAAATATTCATCTAATGATATAGTATATATTTATTAATTATTACTTTTTATTCAATTTTCACTTTTGGCGGGATTTCATTTTTTTTTGTTGTATGGGCCATATTGTTCACCCAAAACGGAAAACAAAGGCAATGCATAACATTTTACTCCACGAACGTCGTCGACTCTCAGCGCGACAGATGCTTGGTGCTTGCATAATGACCGGAATGCCATATACAAAAGGTGCTCGCTTTCTTTCTCTTTGTGGAACTAAGCCCCCTGTGAAGAGTGGTGTCATGAGACAACAGAGATTTTGTGACGATAAGATTAGAAGACTTAAAAGTATTTCCCTAATGCTGTCGAGAAAGTCCTTCAGTGGTTACTTATCCATTGATGCAAGATGGACGCACAGGCGAAACTCGCCAAGTTGTACAGTAACTGCGCTCGATGCTGTCACAAAAAGAGTTCTTGCATGCGTGAACATCAACCATATTGGTGGAAACAGACAGCATGCTCAGTATTCCGGAGCTTCCAACAATATGGAAAGTGCTGGAACTCGAATCATCTTGAAGCAATTAAAGAAATACAATATCTTGAAAGATGTTAAAGAGATTATTAAAGACCGAGATAACAAAAGTGTCTCTGTCAGTTAGTATGGCTAAGTCGTGTACTGTGGCACTGCGCGCCTCCGTACACCACTTAACGGTTTTGACACTTTACAAAACCGTTAACGTATATTTTACAACACAAACGACAACACTAACTTAACCTTAAATATTTACAAAGCCACCAACCACTTCACCTCACTAATGTAAAAAATAAACATTCTCACTTACAAAAGTATTGCAACTCCTCCCATTGCTGTGCTTCACATAACAGTTCATATTCTTCTGACTCACTTTCTTCTTCATATAGGTCAAAATCACTGTCAAAATGAATGTTAGTAAGTTTTGACAAAGCTAATGAAACACGTTTACCGTTTGTATCGTATGCTTGTATAAACTTTCCATTCTTCATTCCTTCATAAACGCTCAAACTAACTTTACCCTTTCTCCCTCGTATCTGATAGAATGTATTTTCACGAGGAACGAAGAACAAATTCTTGAACTCATGACCGTTGTAGTTTGTTATCTCAATAGTTTTCGTCATTTATATAAAAATAAAATAAAAAATAAAATAAAAAATAAGCTTAAAAATTAATGATATCACCACTCCCACACGTATGAAAACATAGCACAAAAATAAATTTAGGTGAAGTGGTGAGATCTCACCTCTTTTTTCACCCGGTTTTTCACCCACAATAAAATTTATTCCTCACAGTCGTCTGCTTTCTCCAACTCTTCTAACTTCTTCTTAAGTTCAGCAATGTTGTCCTCATGAAGTTTAATCTTTCTCAAAATTCCTTCTTTATCTAATGGTTGCTTTATCTTTCTAAACTGAACTCTACCATCCTTCATAGTATGAACGTAAAAACCTTCTGGAATCGCTCCTGATTTAATGTATTCTACCAAAAACTTTTGTTTCATTGCTTCAGTGACTTTAGTCGTCATTTCAATCAAATAAAAATTTTAATATTAAATAAAAATAACGTTATTTTTTCAGTAAGGAAACGCAGGAGTTTTACGATTTATTTGAGGAGTAGGTTCTGGTTTAAATGTTGGAGTCGGTTTAGGAGTTGACTTTTGAACAGGAGTTTGTACTTTCATAGGTTCAGGAGTCATTGAAGGTGTTGGTTTTGACGTTGGTTTTGACGTTGGTTTTGGCGAAGGTGTTGGAGTTTGTTTAACTTCAGCTACTTCAGTATTATTTACAACATTTGCTTTATTTCTTTTCAACATCATAACTGCTCCTGCTGTAGCTAGCAAACCTAGTGGGAGACCATATCTTATATAAGGACTTGACCAAATGCTATTTTTGACAGGAGCTGGTGGAACACCTAACCTTGGTGAGACTGCTCTTTGCCATTGTGCAGCTCGTAAGAAATATTCAATAGGTGCTCCATAATCGTTTGGTAAAGTTTGTTTCATAGATGGTGAAGGTTCACGAGAGCTTGATGAAGAACTCATTTATAAGCTTTAAAAATAAACGTTCATCCTTTATTCCTCACTGTCGTCCGTAGCTAAGTTATAGTCATCTAATCTTATTATTGGGATTCCATTAGCACGCACCTGAATGGCAAAGCAACAATCCCTCATAAATCCAATAAGTGGCTTTGGTACATTTTCAGTTGCTAGTTCAATAGGTCCTTTAACAGACAATTTGTATGTTATTGGAGCAGTAGATGTTTGACCTTGCTGGAAGCAAAAGTCCACTTCTGTTGGAAAACCACATAAGAAATGTGTGTTGTCATAGCTATCCCATTTATGTTCCACACTACCATCATCCACCAATGACCTCATAACATCTTCATTAAATCCTATCATATCATTGTTTGTATTGCAAGCGTTCGCAACCATTTCATAAAATACAGGTCCATATGATTTTTCAGGTTCTGCAGGCATATTTCCATAAGCTCCCATGGAAAGCTGAAGATATTTAAACTTAGGGTTCTCAAAATTAACATAATAGTTGTCTTTCTTTCTAAATAGTGCCCAAATACTTTTAACATTAATAGGCGTATAAGCTGCTGTAAATGTTGCACTTGAACTATCTGTATTCTTTGAGAATGAACCGTCCATAGGAATCCAATCCATAACTTTAACAGGAAAACATAAAGCCTCGTTTGTATAATGTTCTACAAGTTCTGTATAAATGTTAGGGTCTAAAGAGAATGACTTTGGATGAATGAAACATTCATTAAAATCCATCTTTGTTCGAAATAGTTGCTGGGTTACAGTTGTAATAGTAACTGTTCCACTAGCTTCTACTGCCTTCGTTATCATAGTGAATGGTTCATTCCATGGAACAAATTTATTTGTCGGTGGATTTGAATCTGAAGCAAATGCAACTTTAAGAGTTGGATTGAAAGCAATGATATCATTTACAGATATAGATGTGCATTGTAAGGCGTCGCTACTGAACTTTACTTTAAGCTGAATGTTTCCTGCAAAAGCTGGAATAAATCGAATAGCTTCTAATGGAAGGAATCTTCTAACAGGAATTCTTAAACGAAGCTTAAAATCAAATGATTTTCCTGCTGTAATTGGACCACTAACAATTTGTCCTGTTCTGCATGTTCCCGAATGACTCCATACATCTTCATGTCGAGTCTTTGAGAAAACATCTACTTTCTTTATTTGTTCGGTAGTTTGTGAGTTTGAAGTTATATATGCTTCTTCTCTTGCGTTGTCTTGAGAATATACGATACGACCATTTGCAAGGATTTGATATCCAGCAACTGCATAGAAAGCGTCATCGAAACCAATCCAAAATCCTGGTGGGTTTGTTTTATTGGAACCTGAACCAATTTCTTTATCTACAATAAATTGACCTTCCATTTTATACGTAATGAATGTATTGTAAAGGTCCAACATATTTTCACCAGGAGGTGAGAGATTGAATGTTACCCATGTGTTATCTTTAGCAGTTCCAGGTTGTGATGGAATCTTTGCGTCAGAATATTTTCTATTAGTGTCACCAATTTGAACTGCATTGTCTATGATATCGAAATATGAGCGAATCTGATGAATATGCTCTGCTGGAGTAAATTCGTTTAACTGTTCGTTCTGCATGTATTTACTTCAGATAAAAATCTATTTACTTCATTATTCTCACTCTTCTTCTTGGCATTCGTGGTGGAAGTTGTTTCTTGACATTTTCAATGAACTGTACATTCTCTTTTGTCTCAACTTCTTTCACTGGCGGGTCAGGGTTCTTTGACTCGGTTTGTTTTTCAATGAAATTCACGAACTTTGCAATAAGCTCTTGGTTCGTTATTGAAAGTACATCTGGCTTCTTTTCTTCTGGTTCTATTGACTTTTCAGTTTGAACAGAAGGTTTTATATGGACTTCGTGGACTTCACCCTTGCCATACACCTTAATGTTGTCGCTTTCTGCATTCGCTAATGGAACCTTTCTTTTTCTTACGTATATTTTACCATCTTTACTCTGACTTACATAATAGAAAGGATGTTGTATTCCTCTTGCGTCATTTAATATAATAGACTCTCGCTCTGATTTTGACAAGCTCATTTTACATCGGTTAAAGTTTTAATTTTGTTTTTTATCTGCAGTCAAATGACTCAGACAAGCCCTTCGGACAAGACCCAAGGGGTCATAGATGTTGAAGCATTGAAGAAAGAAATTCGCGAGCAAATTTTATCCGAACTGAAGGAACAAAAACAAGAACAAAAGCCAGAGAGACCAAAGAGAAAACTTAGTGAAAAACAACTTGCTGCATTAGCTGCTGGAAGACAAAAGAACCCACGTTTGCTGGCGAAAAAAGCTAGAGAAGAAGCTGAAGCAAAAGCTAGAGAAGAAGCTGAAGCAAAGAAAGAGTAAATGGTTTATTTTTATCCGAATTAAATGTATAGACAAATACCTTTATCTGTTGCGTTCAGTAGTGAAAACCCTGACGTCAAAATAAAGGGGAACAGAGTAACGTTTAAGTTTCCAACAGACTGGATTGTGAACATAAATGAAGAGAAGTACATTGGCATAACATCTATGTATATAACACGTGCTTTCAGAAAGGTTGACTTTATACTTCAAGTCGAGATAGAAAATGACGAACAGTCTTTAAACGCCCAAAACATTCACATATACAAATACTTTAAAGACGATACAACATTGTTGCAATGTATGATTTCATTTAATGAGATGTTCGAGAAAAAGTTCAACATTGAAGTACAAACTTTACAGCCTTTACGTGAGTTTCTTGCACAACTGAAAGAAGAAGGTAGTCAGCCACAACTTATAGACTTTCATTATGAATTTAATGAAAATGAAGATGGAACTCATGACTGTCAGTTTGTTATATATTCACCATTCAATGAAGTCGCTAAAGAGAAAGATAATCCATTACGTATAAGGTTTCAAATCTCTGAACCCAATGATGATTTCAAGAATGTTTTCAATTATGATGCAATGCTTCCGAGGAAAAATGAATTTTCAAAGATTGTAACACCAGGTATTTGGGATAGAAAGCAAGCTATATTATATTCAAACTTAAGTAAGGGAGTTGAAAATGAGTTCATTGGTCATACAAGAACTTCACCACTTCCTAACCCTAAATACTATAAATTAACTGGCTTCAATCGTGAGTTTTGGATAGACATGTTCTCCACTCATGACCATAACTGCCCAGTGTTCTTACCTCCAGACCATAAGGACTGTCTCTACATTGAAACACAACTCTTAAACTCTACCATCGCAGTATTGTAAATGACCTCATGGGCTTCGCCCTTGCCGCTAGCGGCTTATTTTTATCACGAATGGTCTCATTGCTGACAAAAATAAATGACCTCAGAACTTCAACTTACGAATAAAGCTTGTTTTAGTCGTTATTGAGAAGTTAAACTTTTCAGCAAAGCAAGGACTAGAAGACTTACATAAGTCGAATGCAATCTCTTGACCATCATGAAGTGTTTTATATAACTTCATAACACTGAACTCAGAGTCTTTGTCATATGTTCCTTGCGGAACCATTAAACCTTTATCTTCATCATAGAAACACTGAACAGAGTCAGGAAACATTTCATTAGCGGTTAAAGCAATAACATCTTGCTTCACGCCTTTCATTCTGCAGTGGAATGCAACTTCATTTAAATCATTCGTGAGTAAGTCTATGTAAGTCTTCTTTCCACAAAATATTGACTTGTATGCTAAACTTTGTTTTCCAGGTGTTATTTCTGCGAAGTCAGAATGGAACTGACCAAGGTTTTTACCAATGAGAACTCTTCCATAACGTTTCTCAAACTCTTCAGCTAAACGAGGGATATCTTCATTGTAGAGATGCATACTGTCGGTGTCGCTATAAAAGATGTCCATTCCTAAGTCCTCAGCAGTACAGAATACTTCACACATTATTCTCTTCGACATAGATAGAATGTTAACACCAAGTGGACAGAAGTTAAAGTGTCTGCAAATGCTTTTCGTTAGCTTGAAAATAGTTTTATCTGAACCATCCAAACCTTCGAACTTCACTATATGGTTGTAGTTTCTGATGGCATATCTTATAGCATCTTTGTCATTTACTATGGTTATTTTTGACTCAATAGGAGATAGAATAGTTTTGCCATAAATACTGTTCAGAATGAGCTTTATATTTTCTTGCAAAGGATTTCCTTCTTTCTTATACTTTAACCTTAACTCAAACAACTTCTTTACTTCATCTCTTATTCTAATATCTCTGTTTCCATCGTAATAGTATCCTTGCAACACTTCACATTTGACACCTTGATATTTTATGAGGTCTTGTAATGTTATATGGTCAACATACATTAAACAGCAAGTGTTTGAACTTCTGGGAACGTTAAGTTCTGGATTTAGTTCAGGGTCACAAACTATTAAAGGAAAGTGTCTATGTATTCCAATCTCTGTTATCTTAATGAGAACAAAGAAACCAGACATAAACTTTTCACCAATGGGTTCCTTTTGGTCGTCATCGAATAAATGTCTCATGAGATACTCTGTGCTTAACATTTCTTTCTTCATAACCTTTGGAATACCTTCTAAAGTATAAAGTCTTGCTATAGCTGATGGATATAATGAAACAGCGTCGAAATCAGCAATGAGTTTCTCTTTACTCTTTTGTTTAATGTTATCTGATAACATACATCTTCCACCTTGAATGCATCTCGAAATAAATTCTCTTGGTTTATTTGAGAGGTCATATAAATTTCCATTCGGGAAGTACACTCTGTTCTCAAATAATTTGTTAGCAATTGAACAAATACTAACGTAGTCATAAACGTTTAAATCAAATTCTTTCAATATGTCATTGCGGAACTTAACAAAACCTTCTCTTAAAATTCTTACATCTTGTTTGCAATAAAATGTGCTATACTTTTCTAAGTCGAAGTGGTTCTCATCTATTCTGCAACCTTTGATGGAATCTATGTTTTTCATGAATGTATCCGCATCCTGGATAAACTTACATGCTTCAGAAATGACACCAGTTCTGTTGTCATTTGCTAACAAAGTACTGCTGTAGTAGTTATATGGAAATACTTCTTTCGGTCCTGTTTGTAAGTTAAACATAGCAGGAAATAGTTTAAGCTTCTTATTTATAACACTGTAAGAGTCTTTTATAATAATTGCCCTTCCTTTATATAAGCCAGTTATTTGCATTGTTCGTGAACCTTTAATGATGGGAGTTCCTTTCACTTCTGTCATGTGTCTTAAGATGAAGTTTATATCATAACTGAGGTTATGGAAATATATTAAACTCTTGTCAGGAAGTCGTTCCAAAAATTCTGTTGCACAGTTCTGACCCCAAATGCTTTCACTCACTGAACCATCTTCACTGTCATAACATATGTTAAAAGCTTTATGAAAGCCATCGGTACTGCACTCAAAGTCAGCAAAGAAAACGTGCTCAGGAATGAACTTGCACTTATTTTTATTTACTTCTTTTGACTCGGCTTTCTTCTTCAGTTGTACACAATACTTTGGAGCATATGTCAAATCTTTAAATGGTGCAAGGTTCTGTTTATATAAGTCAGTAGTATATGTGAAAAGTTCTCCATAAGAAATAGGTTCGAAATATTTGCACTCCCACAATGTTTTCATAACATCCCATAACGGTGTTGTTCTATCATAACGAACTACATATTTATCTTCTCTCTTTGTATAAATCTTCATCTGTTTCTCAATGTTCATTCCACCACAAGCTTTGAGAATTTCTTTATAGTTTCGAATGAAGTATGTTGTCATTGGTAATCTTTCATTTAGCATGTAGTGGTCTTCAACAAGAAGTAAGTCAATAGTTCTAACAGTTTCGCATTCTTTTGGTATGTATCTCTTTATTTCATTATGTCTTGAGTCATTGAAGTAACCAATGGTAACATTAAATGCTATACCTGTTGCGTCAGAAATTTCTTGTACTTTACTTTGAGGAAAGTCTCTAACACGAATGACTTCTCTCATGTGGTCAATAGTTTCTTCATCTACTCCAGCTTGAATGCAAGCATAAACGAAACAATTGTCTTCTGTCATAAGTGTTGCAGTTCTTTTGTTCAGTTCATTGAAGATTTGGTAGCGTTCAAGATTTATAGGTAATGTGCAAAGATACTTCCAGAACTGACCGCTTCTCTTCTTATAAAACTTCTTTTCACCATTATCTTTCCAAAAGCTTTCTATAAGTGCTGGGTTTCCTGTTTGCTTAAGAGCTTCCAAAATGGCTTTCTGGTCATTTGTCAGTGTGCTTTCATCTCTATATGGTCTCTTTTTTGGTTTGCCTTTCTTTACATCTGACATCGTTAAGCCTTCATATTCTGTTAAATCATACATCTTTATTTCAGTAAGATTCTTTATGTTTGTCAAGAAGAAGTCATAGTGCATTTCAACAATACCTGCAGCATTTGCTTCTATCTCTGATATAAAGTTCTCCTTCAAGAGCTGATGTAGTAATGTTCCAATATTATTGAGGTTTAACGTAGAACATTCATACTTTCCACCAAGTTTATAACATACCATCCATCTCTGTTGTGAGTTTATTTTAATTTTCTCTAAGAGTCTCATGAAAACCTTACCGAAATGTTTGTGTAAGTAGTCTCTGTTTGGTTCATCTAAAGCTTCGATGTTAAAGTCAATGAGTCTATTGCCTGACTTCACATTTCTCTTCCTATTCTCTTCATCTTTCTTTAACCATCTCTCACCTTCTTTTGGTTTGTCGTCAATGGAACGAATGACATCGTTAGCTTTGCGAACTTGTTCTATAGCGCTCTTAAACATCTCTCTTCTCTGTTGTTTCAGTGTGTCGTCTCTCTTTCGTGTTTTACCAACGTTCGCATTTGTTATGTCAAACATTTCTCTTCTTACTTCATGAGGTACAGCTCTTCTTGTTTTACCAACGTTCGCATTTGTTATGTCAAACATTTCTCTTCTTACTTCATGAGGTACTGAACGTCTATGATATAAGTCAATAGCAACGTCATTTAAAGGACATGCTATTGCATGGACTTCGTCCTCGCCGCGTTGCGGCTTTATGAACTCATGAATTCTATCATAACTTATTGCACCATTATAGTCATTGAGGATGTCAGCGAGTGCCTTTTTGTTTGTTGCGTAATGCTTTGCAACATCTATATTAGCTTCTGTAAGAAGTTGTTTTATTTCCGAGTGTTCTAACTTAGACAACTTCCGATACATCTTTAGTAGGAAATAAAAAAATATTTTTTGAAAAAATTAGATTAGATTTTTTAAAGTTATTTTTCAAAATAATTTAATATTTTTATTTTAATGAAACACATGCAAGATTGCAAGTTCTTTTCATACAATGCTCTCGCTACTGCCATCAAGAATGAGTTCAATAATGCTTCAAATGTTAATGTTATCTTTAACAAGAAGTTTGTGAAAGAATCTAAGTTTGGTCAGTATGTCAGACCATTAGCTATCGTCATTGACCGCAAACGTTATACTTCACAAGAGTTAGCAGTAGTTTTGAAACAAAAGAGTTTCTTCGTGAATGTCAAAGATACACACTATACTGTTATAAAGAACTCTAACGTTGACTTCTTCAGTATTGCTATGAATCTTTCCGAACAGAAAGAATATAAGAAGGGTGAAACAAATGTGAAATATTATCCTTCATCTCTGAAGACAATAACGAACAAAGATGTTATACAGAAGCTCCTACCAAAGGTTGAAGAAGCTTCTATTGACATTGACGAAGGAAGTGAAATGGTTGAAGAAATAGACCCTGAAGCTATTTAAGCAAAAATATATTTTTGGTTAGTCTTCATATCGATATTTTACAACAATTCCCCAATGTATAAACTTTTCATACGCTTTTTCATAAGCTTTGTATGTCTTCAGAAATTTTGCATAATCTTTTACATGTTGTTCGTTCTCTTCTTCTGTCATGAGTTCCGAATATTCTAAATTCATGTTCTTTCATATGAGATAAAATTTTATAAAAAAAAATAAAATTAGCTTAGATTTTTTTTTATTCTTCCTCTTTGAAGTTATCGAAATATTCTGTTATTTTTTCCTTCAGTAGCGGTAAGTCTTCTTTGAATGTAAGTATTGTGCAACCTTTGATGTCATAGTGTGTTTGAGGAAGAGTATTTTTGACAACTTCCTTTATTTGCTCATTCGGTGTCATTGAAATCGGTAAGTTTTCGCGATAGAACCAATTTCTATCAGATTTATATATCTTAGCTAAGTCATAAAAGCTTTTGTTGTTTCTTCTGACTAAATGCAACATAACCATATCTCTGTCTTCTTCATTTTCCATCTCTTCAGTATATATCATATACTTATAGTTCTTTTCCTTTCCTTTTGGTACTGAACGTGGTATTCTTTTCTGTATGCTTTTGTCTTTTGCTTGAAGTTTATTTTCCATCTCTTCACGTTCTTGTCTGTGAATTTCGTCAAGAAGTCTGTAAATATTCCAAGCATAACGAGCTGAAGCCCACATTGCTACAGCATTTACAAGAAGTCTATGTACATAATATCCTCTCAAACCGTTTGGCAATTTTTCACGATTTTCATAGAGTTTTGGCGACCAGGGTTTTTTCCCTACTCGCTGTTCTTCACTGTTTTCAGAAAAAAGTATGTCTCGCTGTGCTTCGCTCAAAAGTTCTTGTGTGCTTTGGTTCCTAAACCAGTCTTTAGGAAGCTTAGTATCTGGAGCATAACATGCTGTCAAAATACTTTGCATTTGGTACATATCATCTTTGACTGAACGAATGAGACGTAACTGTTTGTTATACTGTATGTACTCGTATTCTTCATTAATGGCTTCATGAACGATAGCAGTTGTTGTGTTCTCTGATGTTGACATTACTGTCTTTACATACAAAATAAAAAAAATAAATAAAAATAAAATTAGCGTTATTTTTTCTGAGATAAACACTATTTCTTCACAACATTAAATTTTATCCTGTATGAAATGACTTTAAAAAGATTATTGACTGACTTCGAATACTATCTCATTGACGCACTGACAGACCCTCAAAACTGTGTTGAAAGTTCTTTAAGCTTTAAGATTGAAGGTACGACGCATTTTGTCTTCACTTACGTATTGAAAGAATATGACCATTATCATAACGAAGTGAATCAAACACTAATAAAATTTGTAGATAAAAAATTGGTTAACAATGAATATTTTAAACGTGAAGACCCAAACACTGCTGGAGATGATGAAGAATACAGACAAGTTATTGAAAAAAATAACGCAAGATTAGATGCAATAGAAAAGAATTTTAATGAATGTCTTACAAACACGTATGAATATCTTATGCGGTGGGAAGCTAGATGGAAATAAATTTACGTCAAATATGCAATTTATAAAATCTTATGTCGACAGGCTACGTAGCACAGTGGTCTAAGGTGGTGTTATGGAGGGGTCAGGGTCTGTGGTTCGAACCGCGACAGCGCCGTATTTTCTTATTTTCTTTGTTTGTCTTGTTTGTCGTGAATAAAAAGTGTCATAAAAGTGCTCTATCTTCCACGGGAATAAATAAAAATTTACTTTATTTCTTCTTTATTTCTTTGTTCCCGTGGAAGAAGGGTTTTGCTGTTTTTTCTGTTTTTTCTCAGCCGAAATCAATGATTTTTTCATTTTTGGAATCCTTAGCGAATGAGGAATCTTTTCTCTCGTGGAAGCTTTGACCAAAAATATAATTGAGGTGAAGAGGTGAGATCTCACCTCTTTTTTCACCTCTTTTCTCACCTCTTTTTTCACAAGCGTTTTACATGAATTGTACGATGTATATTTGAGACTCTAAACAATTTCGTAGCTTCTATTTCTTCTTTTAGTACATCGAATGTTTTAACTATGCCGAAGGTTTCTTTATATTTCTTCTTGACATCAGATAATAGGAAATCGTCAGCAGTTGGATAGTTTTTGTTCAGAAATGCTAACATGTCCATTTTATCTTCTGCTGGTTTCTCTACTTCTTTCTTTAAGTCAGCATAGTCGTTTCGCATACGTTCTATCTCTTTGACGGAGTAGTTATATTTCCTAATTGCTGCTTTACATTTAGAACATTGCGGGTTCATTTTTGCGTTATACATTGAAATAAAACCTGCTAGAACAACTAAGGCGTCAATGGTTTTCTTTAAATCTGAAGCAGTTGGTTTTATCTGTTCATTCCATACCTTACCTCTTCTATCTTTATCTCTTATCTGCCATACACATTCTGCAACTAACGAAACAAAGTTGTCGTAGGTCTTAAATTCTTCAGATTTATATATGTCAGAAACATTCTTATATACCATATCGCAATCTTTGTCCATAACCTTATGGTTGCAATGAAAACCAAGGAATTCATAATTTACCTTTCGTATGAACTTCTTTATTTCTACTGAGTCAGTTGGTTTCACTTCAATTTCGTCAAATTCGGGAATAGTGAGTTTTTGTTGCTGAATTTCAGGTAGTTTAGGTAAATGGTCAATAATGTCCTGCATTTCATAAAGATACTGTTCATTTTCTTCATCTTTCGCACTACAGTCTAAATTACTTGTTAACAGTTCTTGCTTTATCTTCTGGATTTTTGTTTCGAAAGTATATGAAGAAGGAATGAAGTTTTTCATCTCTACCAACATTGACGTAGGATTCATAACTAACGAGTTTGGTGCTGTTGTTTGAATTGTTGTTGTGCCGATTGTTGAAATCATGTCTTTACATACAAAATAAAAAAATAAATAAAAATAAAACTAACTTTATTTTTCTATCTTAAGGAAATTCATGAAAATTCAAGAGGGTGAAAAAACAGGTGAGAAAACAGGTGAGATCTCACCTCTTCACCTAAATTATATTTTAGGTGTAAATTTCCTAAACTGACTGACTGACTGACGGCACAAAGTGGCATAACGAAAACATTAATATATAAAATTCATGAAAATTCATGAGGTGAGAAAACAGGTGAGAAAACAGGTGAGATCTCACCACTTCACCTAAATTATATTTTTGTCTGATTTACGCTCATTACGATGAAGAAGTTTCGACAAAACATTTACGTTCATGTTTGACAAAACATATACGTTCATGTTTGACAAAACATTTACGATGAAATCATGAAAATTCAAGAGGTGAGAAAACAGGTGAGAAAACAGGTGAGATCTCACCACTTCACCTAAATTATATTTTTGTCTGATTTACGCTCATTACGATGAAGAAGTTTCGACAAAACATTTACGTTCATGTTTGACAAAACATTTACGAAGAAGTTTCGACAAAACATTTACGATGAAATCATGAAAATTCATGAGGTTAGAAATGAGGGTAGAAATGAGGTTAGATCTAACCATCTACCCTAAACATTATTTTTGTTCATGGACTTCGTCCTCGCCGCTTCGGTCTGAAAGACCTCAGGACTCAAAGAGTCCGTTTGCGTCTTTATGTTAAAATAAATGGTATCATTAATAATACATGACTGTTCTCATTCATGTCTGATTTACATCTAATGAAAAAGTTTAGAAGAATTTTCTTATTCTTTCTGGCATATTTTTGTCTTTCCAGTACTCCCGCTCTAATGGTCCCAGATGTGTTGGCTTTGACTCTCTCAAGTTCTTAGATGGTATAACATCTTCAACGCCTCCTTCATATCTTACTTTATAAGTGTCATCGTTTATGTTATAGCCAAGTATTTCAATAACCACTCCTCGCTTTGCTTCGTCAATGGTTTCAGCAAGTTTGCCATTACTACTTTCGACTAATTTATGTCGAGGATAAAACGCAATAGAGTCGTCAGCAGCTTTTATAAGATATCCATTACCTTGCGTAGAGTCTACGATATAATAGTTTCTACTTAACCTTAAACGTTTCTTTGTCAACGGTTTGTCGTCAAGAACTACACGAACTTTTGTACCAGGAATGAGGGTAAATTGTGTTGAATTTCTGATATTTTGTGTTTGGCTTCGTTTCTTTTGTATATACTTTTCTTCTTGTTGTTGTGTCATTGAATTTGGTGTATGTCCTGTTGTAGAATGTGTTGAGGAATTATATACTTCGAGAAAATGTTTCATTGTTTCTTCGGTAAAGTCTCGCTCTTGATTTAAATCTCTGAGCGTCCTTATGAAGCGGTTTATGATGCCGAGTATGTTATGGTTATGGTCTTCAGTAGTGTAGTGAGTTATGTTATGCTTAATGAGAAAATCTGTGATTTCATTGCTGAGGTATGCACTGTCTTGGTCTGATGTTAAAGTACTTGGGCTATGTTCTGCTACAAACTTTTGTAAAACTCTTAACACTTCACGAGTTCCTTTATTTTTCATTGGATATGCATATGCTTTACGAGTGTTAACATTAATGAAGATGAGGAATGGTTTATGTCCTCCTTTCTTACTCTGAATGAGAGTGTCAAATTGGTATGCGTCAGGAGTGTTGGAGTAAATTGGTAAAAAGTAGTCGTAAGGGTTTATTTTTGTTTGATGTACAACATTTTTGTCAAAGAACCTTTTCACTTCAGCTCTGTTAGTAAATCCCCAACTCTTTGCAGCTTCATTGAATTTCTTAAATGACCTCCATGGATGTTGTTCGAATACTTCTTTCAAGCTCATTTATGTAAAGTTAAAGATTTTATTCTAGGCTCAAGCGCGTTCATTGAACGCGGTACCATGCGAATACAGTCACAAATGGTGGCATGTAATCTGCACCCGAGCCTGTTGGATTTGTTGTGAAAGTGTGGGCATGATTTCCTGTGGTTCCACAGAAAATACCTGTGCTTGAATCTACTGGGTCACTTGAAATATCATATCTATGCATTCCCTGTCTATCCGAACCTGCTGCAAGATTTGTATAACCTCTTTTTGTTATTGAATGTGAATGACTACCTGTTGTGTTTGTAGTTCCTGTATGAGTGTGCGGTGGAAGGTTTGCTTCTTTAATTTTCTTCGAACCTCCTGTTTGCTTTGAAGAGTTAGCACAGTATAAGAATTTGTCTACAATCTGCTGCCATGTACCAAAACCTAAAACACTTGCTGGATTTGTTGAGTTCATTGACGTATAAATAGAGCCTATAGGATATAATGTTTGAAGTATTTCTGTCTTTAATGTTTGAAGCTCTGTTTTGTCAGCTTTCTTATCTAACATTGTTGGTAGTTCATATGCTTCAAAGTTTCTGGCATGATCTTCGATATTCCTGCAACTCTTATCTAAATTGTTAAGAGTATCTTTTACGCTTGTACTTGGATTTTCTAATGGTGCACTTGAACCAAGGTCAAAGTTCAATATTATGTCGTCTGCTCTAACAGTAGTGAAGGATTTATGTGTATGATTTTTGTCAGCTTTCTTATCTAACATTGCTGGTAGTTCATATGCTTCAAAGTTTCTGGCATGATCTTCGATATTCATACATTTACCATTTAAGGAGTTTAGTGTATCTTTTACGCTTGTACTCGGATTCTCTAAAGGTGCACTTGAACCCAAATCATAGTTCAATATTATGTCGTCTGCTCTAACAGTAGTGAAGGATTTATGTGTATGATTTTTGTCGGCTTTGTTGTCTAAAGAAGTTTGAAGTTCATTTATATCGGAGATATTGTGTTTATGAGATTTCAAAACTTTGTTCGTTGCGTCAAGTTCATTTTTGTCAGCTTTACTTTTAATAGCATCTTCAAAAGTTATTTTTGCCTTAACTCTTAACATAAATCTTGGTTCAACTAATACACCGTTAACAAAGAAGTATGAAGCATAAATTTCAGCGTTATAACCAAATGTTTGTGGTGCTATACCTGTGTCATACTGTACAGTACAGTGTATGTCATAACCTTTAGCACGAATGAATTTATATCTTCTTTCATTAACATTTTTCGTCTTCACTTCTTCATCCTGTGTTAAATATCCATGATAGTCCGTTATAATCTGTTCGTCTGAACTTATATAATGAACATGGTTCTTGTCCGCTTTACTATTTAATGTAGCTTGAAGTTCATTTATATCGGAGATATTGTGTTTATGTTCTTTATCTGCTTTTTCGGCTAATTTCTCTTCTATCTCATTTATTTCAAGTTCATGCCTACCACCACCTCCCGAAGAAGTATTTTTCTTCAGCTCTTGAAGAACGTCCACTTCGCCATCTTTGGTGTCAATAATGAGACTTTGTGTTAAAACCTTTCCTGTCTTAATGGATGTTTGTAAAACTTCTTCTTCACCATGTTCGGGGTCATGGTCGTCATCATATCTTGTGAAATCAGAGATGTTGTCATACATTAAGCATATCTGTCTCAAAAGTTCTGCTATTTGAAACTGGAACGAAAGATATACAGAACTTTCATCATCTCCTAAAGTCAAGTCTGCTTTCTTAAGTATTTCTTGAATGTATGCAATGAGAACAGAGTACCTTGGAAAATATTCGAACAATATTTCATTAGTTGTTGGTTTTGGTGGTTCTTCTGGAGTTTCTGTTGTTTCAGTTCCTTCTGTAGGTTCTGTTGGAGTTTCTGCATCTCTTGACTTCAATGCTCTTGCTCTCAAAGACCTAAATGTTAGAGCACCAGGTTTTACAAAGGACTTTATAAATGCTTTAATAGTTCCTGGTAAGTTATTGTTAGCATTAAGTAAGTTCCTTATGCTTCCATCATGTACGTCCATAGCACTATGTAAAAAATCTATACTTTTCTTGTAGTCAGCAATAGACTGACTGTGATTTTTTAAAGATTTGTCAATACCTTTAAGCCAATCTTCATGCATGTCTGATACTGAGCCAAGAATATCATTTGCTTCCTTTAGTGTATTTTGTGCTTCTCGTAAAGTATCCAATCCCGTACGTGCATTGTTTGCTATACGTCTTACAGTATCTATTTGACTCCTTGTTTCTTGCATCCAACCAGATAAAGTTTTAATAGTATCCGAACCATTTGAAATGAAGTTCAAAGCATTTTTAACGTCATCTAAAACTTGTTCACCAAGTACTGCCCATATCTTTCCGATTTGGTATTGAAGAACTCCATATGAAGCAGCTGTTAAACCAGTATTTATAAGGTCCCATATCCATGATTTAGCAGTTTTTCCATCCTTTCCATCCTTTCCATCCAAACCGTTTTCGCCTTGAGGTCCTTGTATTCCTTGTATTCCTTGTATTCCTTGTGGTCCTTGAGGTCCGGTGTCACCCTTCTCTCTTTTCAGTTCATCTTTATGTTCGTTATAATATTCTAATGTCATAAGGTGTACATCATTACTGCTACCAGCAACGCCGAGAATTTGTTTCTCATTCATGACTAAATTCTTTAGGCATTTAATGTTGTCGTCAAATCGAAAGCTCTTTAACAATTCAATGAGAACATTTAATACTTTCACTAATGAGGCATCTACTGTAGAATTTATATATTGCACCGTTCCATCATTTATGATAGGAACTTTACTTATTGTAATGAATGGGTCATAAGTATTAAAAGTATCGAAATCAATGACTTTTTTAGTTTTTCCATCGTCAATGACTAAATCATTACCTTCCACTGTTAAAGTTGAGTTTTCGTTTACTAGTTCATGTGCTCTTCTTGCTTCATTTGTTTCATACGCATATGCAGCAATAGTCATATTTTAATGAGAATAAAATGTTGTTCTATTTGCAAAGTACAGACCCAAACGAATACGGGACAGTAAAGCTACAAACAAACTTAGGTCTTCAGAATGAAGCGCTTGCTTTCAGAGTTGTTGACTTCAATACTATCGCAACTTTTGTCATAACAGATGAAACAGATTTCATAGAGATTGAAATAGATGACAAAAGAAGTTTTATAACATTTCCTAACAGAGCAGAGTATAGAATAGATAAAATTGCTGGAGTCATAGATACTCTCATAAATGAAGAAACTATTGACAACATAGATGTCGAACTCTCTTCTGAGGGAACATTGAAGTTCAGTAGCAAGAAAGAGTTCAAGATAACACGAATGAGTCATAGAGTTCAATTGCTTTTAGGAGCATACCATATGACATTTCCTTTGAAAAGTGTTGACAAAACGATTGAGATGAAATCTGTTCCATACGTATGTTATGGTAATTGTTTATACATTGAGTCTAAAATAGCTAATGTCACAGGCATTTCAGGAGTTAATAGTAAAGGTTCAGTAGAATATAAATCCTTCTGTTATGCAGTCAATTCAATGTTCATTCCAAACGTTCCTGTCATAGCAACTCATTTAGGTAAATGGGTTCGCATTAGTCCTCATAATTTGAAAGACATGCAATTCAGACTTGTTGACTTTCAAGGCGAGCCTGTAGAACTGAAGGCACCAGTGCGAATGACTGTTGAAGTTGACTTTTTAGAAAATATTAAATGCAACAGCTTACAAGAGAACTCAGAGCTAAAAATATAAAGTATGAATGTTATGTATTAGGTCATGAACTTTGGTTGTTGCTGTTTGATGAAACAATGAGTTAGTTTGTCAGTCAAGAGAACAGAAAAATATTGTGTTAGTGAAAACTGCACCAAGTCAATAAGATTGGTTTGCATTATGAAGATGAGTTCGATACTGTTGAAGAAGTTTTGGATAGATATTACAAATTGCTAACTTGAAATTTTTTGACTGACTGCTTTAATTTACTAAAACATATTTCAAGCAAAGTTTATATTCTGTTGAAGTTTTGTATACTCGTTCGAATTTTATACTTAAACTCAACTCCTGTAGTTCTGGTGTTTCAATGATGCGGATGTTACCTATTTTCATGATAGTGGAGTTTGACCACAGCATTCGATTTCAGGGTCGAGATAGTCAATGACACATTGTTTCCTGTTATTCGTGATATAACATTTTCAAGGTCCTCCTTTGTTAGAATTATTTGGTTCTTGCTTATAAGATTTGTCAAGCTTTTATCGTCTTTGAGTAAGATAGTTTGGTATAACTGAGAAAGGTTAATGGTCTACGTTATCTGAAGGATTTGTTTGAACATTTGTGTAAGGATTGTCGTTGGCTTCTCTTGAAAGAATTTGGTCCAGTGGTGGATACTCTAACTTAACATCTGTGTAGCGTTAGCGTTTGAAGCTGTGTTTAAATTCACGACTTAGTTCTGGTTCTTTTTCTTTTCAAACACTCCGAATATAGTTCTTTATGACAATATTGTTTGTCGTTCGTGAGTCAACATTTGATGTTGGTTCAATTGGAAATTAACGGCACCAGCGTAAGATGGATTTGCTTCTCATTTCATATAGAATAAAAACCTTTTATATGTATGAAATGACATATACTCGACAAGGGTTTGAATGTAAAGCTAACGAATGAAATATTGTTGAATTCACTGAGACAGGTGCTGTGTATAAAGATGTAGAACTACTGACAAAAGAGCTAAGGGAAGAAGCAGGAACATGAACAAAGGGTGGAAGCCTATAAAAATTTATGTCAATGATGGCTCAGGAGGTTCAAACATAAAGTATGCAGAAAGTTATAGAGTTTATGCTCTCAAAGGTGAAAAGCCTTCATTTAAGAACAGCTATTCTAACGCATATCCTCAAAAGCTAACGGATGGGGAAGTGGATGATATGAATGACAGCAAAAATATTAACAGAAATGGCGACAGAGATGCATGGAATTTTGTTTACCATCAGTCAATTGAAGGTTAAACTTTAAAACAATGTTGGTCGTTCCCATGGAATATTTTTGACTTTAATGGTATTAGTCATGATATGAATCTCAAGGTATGAACGAGGAGAGATGAGAGACTTATATGCTTCCCAAATTTCTTCAAAAGGTAATGTTATACCTGACTGTTTCCAAATGAGTTCAATGTCATAGCGTGAGAAACCTTGAAAGATAACGAAGTCAGTTATGAGACGTTTTATGTTTAAAGCAAGGAACGCCATGTTTGCATAAGTATTGCTACAGTTAAATGGTAATGTCTGACTTTAGTTATGATGTTAGCTAATGGTGAGTCAGGCTTTGACACTAAACCTTTTCCGGCGAAGTCGTCGCAAACGAGCAGAGTGTTTGAAGGATACTTTTTGAAGGGGTATTTTGAAAGTTTTGACAGAATGTAGTTTGTCAGTCGTTTCATATCGTAAACTCCTGAGTACTGACGTAAGTGGTGTTTGTCAATAATTCTTTCCATCTCCTCAGAAGTCTTTTGCATTCCTGACTGTATAAATTCAACGATGGCATAATATTTCCTCTTACGTCGAATGTAACGTTGAAGAAATTCAATGAGTTCACTGTCTGGAACTTTAACGACAGAGGCTTGAACTTTTGACATAAATGTTTTCGCTGTTGAGTCCATAGAGTCTGAAGTTGCTGATATAATGATTTGGTCATAATATGAGTCATTTCCTAAACGTTCTGTTATGAGTATATGACGAATGAGGTTGAATGTCTTTCCTGACCCCATCTTTCCACAATAGAAATACACACCATTTGAACAGAACTCATAATCTTTGCTGAAAGGAAGAATAAGAGAAGAGTTAAGTTTGTCTGTAGTTTCATTCATGTCTTCATCTACGTCATGTATTAAATGCTTCATTTTATCTCCATTAAAAATGCAAGTCAGAAATATTCAGAACATAGCACCGAGTCTAACTGACAAGAGTATAAAGATATACTATGAACACGTTATGATGAAACCTACCAAAATTCAAGAAAGTCAGTATACTTATGAATATCCAAGACACTGGGTAGAGTATGTAGGAGGTGAGAAAGCTATTGAAATCAGACAGGTTCGAAGTATTCCAGCAGGAAGAACAATATTATTGAAGAACTTTAATGTTTTGAGGTATAATGATGAAACAAAGAAGCAAGATAGTTTTCCTGTTGCTGTGTATGTGAACTTAGATACAGGAGATGACATGAAAGTTTTTAACACAAAGCTTCAAACGGTAGTGAGAGAACAACTGACTGCGGAAGGACATCCATTACCTTCAGAAGTTACCATAGCATATAATTTTGAAACAAACTCAATAGATTTTAAAGTCATCTCTGCAAAGAAGTCAGGATTTACATTTAATGAAGCAGATGCATATTCGAATGAAAACTTCAAAGCTATTGCATGGTTAGATAATGACGATTGCTTTAAGAAAATATTTAAATACAGTGACTCAACGATGTCAATAGATGACCTTCGTGGAATGTTACCATCGACGTTTACAGTAGAAGGTTCAGCAGGATTGCTTACAAGATTGTCAATTGGTGGTATTTGGTCTCGTGAGAACATTGTTATAAAATCCAGTATAAGTGAATTTGCTGAAGAATCTATATTATGTCTTTCAAACTACATGTATTCGCCGCCGAAGCATTATAGTATAACAAACTTTGTCAGTAAGTTTAACATAAGACTTGTCGAACCTTCTTCAATGAAAGATGTTGTGCTACCTAAAGATGGAAAGGATGGACTCATTATTGAGATGATTTTAATTGCATATTAAATGAGCTTGTTCTTAAAGGTCGTTCATGATGAAATAACAGTTGTAGAAGATGTTAGCAATTGTTCAGACATTTTGAAGCGTATAGATGATATAAGAAATAAGTTAGATAGACCGCAAAGTGGTGAGGGCGAAGCCCGTGAGAACGCTTATGTTTCATTGACTTTCTCCAGTAACGAGAACTTTTATGAGATAATATTGAAGAGAGATGATTTTAATATGGTGTAAATGGTAGCTTGGGCAGCTATAGGCGCAATGGGAACAAAAGCATTAGCATTTGGAGCAAAAGCACTTGGAGCTTATGACGCAGTAAATAAAATGAGTGGAGGAAGGGTTTCGAAGACATTAGATGCAAATAAAGGGAAGATTGGAGGCTGGGTTGCAAAGAAGTTAAGATTAAATAAAATAGGGCTCATAAATAAAGCATCCAATTTGGTTGCGACTGAGTCAGAAAATGCTTTAGGAAAGGACGATGAGTTTGCAAACACGCAAAAGACTTTAATGACCAGATGAAAGGTGAAACAATGCATTTAAATAGATTCGATGGAACTAAAGAAAATGTTTTTTCTACACCAGTAGTTCTTCCGTATGGTCCCTATGGAATGTATGGAAACCCTTACGAAAGACCATTTGACCCATTGACTGGTGGAAGTAACTGGTATCATTACGGACGAAGAAGAAAGACAGTCAAGTTGGAGACGGACGTAAAGAAACTAACTAAAAAGAAACCAAGGAAGAGAGTTATAAAGCAATGAATTCAACAGGGTGAAAAACCGGGTGAAAAAAGAGGTGAGATCTCACCACTTCACCTAAATTTATTTTTGTGCTATGTTTTCATACGTGTGGGAGTGGTGATATCATTAATTTTTAAGCTTATTTTTTATTTTATTTTTTATTTTATTTTTATATAAATGACGAAAACTATTGAGATAACAAACTACAACGGTCATGAGTTCAAGAATTTGTTCTTCGTTCCTCGTGAAAATACATTCTATCAGATACGAGGGAGAAAGGGTAAAGTTAGTTTGAGCGTTTATGAAGGAATGAAGAATGGAAAGTTTATACAAGCATACGATACAAACGGTAAACGTGTTTCATTAGCTTTGTCAAAACTTACTAACATTCATTTTGACAGTGATTTTGACCTATATGAAGAAGAAAGTGAGTCAGAAGAATATGAACTGTTATGTGAAGCACAGCAATGGGAGGAGTTGCAATACTTTTGTAAGTGAGAATGTTTATTTTTTACATTAGTGAGGTGAAGTGGTTGGTGGCTTTGTAAATATTTAAGGTTAAGTTAGTGTTGTCGTTTGTGTTGTAAAATATACGTTAACGGTTTTGTAAAGTGTCAAAACCGTTAAGTGGTGTACGGAGGCGCGCAGTGCCACAGTACACGACTTAGCCATACTAACTTCTGTCTTTAAAGAATTTGGCGTCTCTCATCTTGAAAGATTCGATCCAGGTCATGTATCAAAAAATATCTCAAAAGATTTTACAAAGTTCTCAGCTTCTCATAAGACAGTTGAAGTTTTCAACGACAAGACTCAGAAGATTGAAAAAATAGAGAGACCTTTCTGGGGTCTGAATGCAAGCCTAAGTATGTGGCTTTGGTCATGTTTTGCCGAAGAAAATATTGACAAACGTACGAAAATGTGGGAGAATTGTGTCTACCATTACGTAGGCAATCATTCTTTTTGCGAACCGCACAATTACAAATGCTTTGAATGGCAAAAAGGTGTCAATTCGATCCAACTTCAATTCATGCTCTATGACTGGGTTCACAAATGGACACCCATAGTTTCCAAAGTTTCTTCCAAAATTGCATGCTATTTGGACAAATCAAGAGCCTGGAAGAACATTAACATTAGAGTTAACGTTGCAATCTTAGAATGGAATGATCCAGAGCATTTTCTCGGAGATATACAAAAAGCATTACATCTTCCCCCACTTCCAGAAGATTGTGTCAAATCATTTGAAGAGAATTGTTACTCCAAAATGATATTGAAACAAAAAACTGTTACAAAAGGTTCTAAAAAACAGAACAAATACAAAAAATCCATTCAGAGTGTACCAGGAGGAGATTATCAAGTTTTCAAGTCCGAATGGGAATCAGAAGACGAAGACATTGATGACTTTGATTAACGAAAATTACATTTTATTTATTGTTTTTGTTTTTAATTAAATTATTATTATGCTCATTTTCTTATTTTGATTTTTTCTCATTATGATATAAATAATTTATTAATGCATTTATCCAATAATTATGCTATGATATTTTTATGCCTTATTTCATTTCTCTTATATTTGATAATCTGGTAAAATATAGTTCAGACTATAATCATTTTAGATTATTGATATATTTATATAGGTTAGAATAAAATTAGTTTCATTTTCTACTTTTATTTTGAATTAATAATTTATAATATCAAATATTATGGCGTAACCTCTCCTTTAAAATATAGATATATATAGGCCTATAGAGTTTATTGGCACTCTCAAAACTCTAGAATTTTGAGTTTACTATACCCTTAATGAGAACTCCTAAATCATCATAAGTGATTATTTTTCTTGACGTAAAAATTTTAAAAGTCCAAACTGTAAGAAAGTCAAAAATCTAATTTAATTTTTCAGAGATTTACAATCTCTTAAAATTTGAGGTAATGCTAAGAAAAATTTGAGGTATATTGCTAACATATATAAATTATAGATGCAAAGAGTGCTCAGAAATTTGACACGACTTACAATTTTGGGTCAAAAAAATGGCTTTATCTCCACGAGTGACTAAAGCAGAACAAAAAATTACCTATTACATAATAGGGCACTTATATATGTATACTTTTAACGAAATGAGACTGCATTTTTATGTAACAAAGTCATCAATTAGCCAAAATTTTTTTTAAATCATTTTCATGAATAAAGGAAATACGGAGGAATTAACAGGAGTTGACGTGAATAGAACATATGCCGATTATATTGATGCATTTAGATCCATATTCCAACTCACAAATGACGATGTAGAAAGCACATTTATCAAAGTGAAAGAAATCTTATTGAACAAATATAAATTTCAAGCGAGTGATCTTTTTACAGTAATCGAAAAGGCATTATATTTGAGAGACCGTTACATGAAATCGTATTTGAAACTTTACGATATGGTTAATAGTCTTTTCAATGATTCATTTAAACTAAGTGCAGTTTATCATTTAAAGGAAATCATAAAAGCATTTGATAGTAACGATTATAGTATGGTTAATCATTATGATAAAATGAAAGATTATATTGAATTACTGAAACCAAATTCGTTATTCAGTGCAATCATGAATGATGATATTGAAACATTTACAAGCATGGCTAATCAATACGATTTTAACCCCAATATAACAATGACAAAGTTTTTTTTTTCAATACATTTTACAAGTTTAATCTATTGGAAATTTGTTCATATTATGGTTCTGAAAAATGAAATTTATACTTGATAGAACATTTTGATTTTAAACCTTCTAAAATCTCCATTTCATTATCATTTTTAGGAGGAAACTCAAGGATCATACGTGAATCATTGCCATTAATCAATGAATCAAATCTTGGATTATGTTTTGAGTCTATTGTTGCATCACACAATATCAATTTCTTTATCTATCTAATTAACAACTTTAATTTAATCAATATGTATAGAGAATACACTCCATCATATTTGAATCTTGAAGCATATTTGATATTATTAGATTATGGATATGATCCCATAAACATTAACGATCTTTACGTATTTGGTATTGATGATTTAATCTTATATTTCTTTAAGAAATTCGAACAAATTGCAATCAATGAATTTAATATTTTGAAAGCAATTGAACGTCATTTCACGAAAACCATTTTATATGCCATCGAACGTGGTGCCGATGTAACAAAAACTAATAACTTTAAATCAGGAACTCTACATTTCGCTGCAAAATATAACATAAAAGAAATAGTGAAACCTTTGATATCACGTGGAGTAGACATCAACGCAGAAGACAAATATGGAAGAACTCCTCTTTATTATGCAAGAGAGTACAACCCAGAAATAGCAGAACTCCTCATTTCAAACGGCACTGGTCAATAATCTGTCACAAAACTAATAGCAATTCAAAGGATTATTAGCAGAACTCACTATTCAATAAAGATATTCTATTTTTTTTATGGCTTGCTCAAAAACATTAGCTTGATTGGATGCATAAATCTATTCAAGTTTTGTATGTTGGCATTATGATAATATTAAGCAAAATAGTTATTTTTATGAAATTTCATCCAAAAAAAGAACACATTTAAGTTACTTTCCAACGATTATGCATAACATATATGAATGCATTCAAATAGATCAATGATATGGTTCTGAAAATCGAAATTTTGATTTCAATATTTTAAATTAAAAAAAAAATTAAAGAAATAATAAATAATGAAGAATCATTTATAAATGATTTAGTAGATACGGTGAGCCTTGCCCATTGTAGACTTAAGTACAATGGAACCGATTGATTGCCAGCCCTTCTTAAGAAGTGTGACAACGTAGTTTGTGCAAAGTGTAAGGTTTTCGAAAACCTGGCGCTCTGTCATGTTGACGTTGCCGATTGGGATACCGAAAGCGACGGACTTCTTCAGACGGATGTTAGCTGTGCGCTTGACTTCATCAACAACCTTAGCGACTGTATCTGTCTTGATGTTTGTTGGGAACTTGTTAGCACGTGTGTAAACTTGACCAAGGACCTTGTTGACCTGACCGATAACATCTGGGGAAGCAAGGAAGAGGTGGTGGCGTTTTGTCCAGGCCTTGACAACCTTCTTCTCCTTGTTGAAGTTTGTAAGTGTTGGAAGATCGTAAGCTGGGATGTTGAGCTTCTGGGCTTCTTCGCAGTGGACCTTGTTACCAAGGACACCGATGCGAACGTTTGGACGAATGATGTGTGGGAGCTTGATGGAGCCGACGAAACGCTTGTCCTTAGAAACGTTGTAGCCCTTGAGCTTGAGCTGGATATCGACTGTCTCGAGGAATCCGCGCTTCTTTGTCTTGGCGCCCTCAAGAACGTCCTTGATAGCCTTCTGGAGTGTTTCCTGGTGAAGATGTGTCATCGGAAAGAAAAGGCCATACAAAAAAGCAGGGGATGATTCCAAAGATAAACCCTAAATTTCATGAAAAAATTTTTCGATGTCACTTTTTAAAAATTTATTAATTTTAAATGTCACAAGCTGATATTGAAGAATTCATGAGACAGACTGGTGTTAGAAGTGAATCAACTGCCTCACAGTATCTCCAGTCTAATTTTTACAATGTGGAAAAGGCTGTAAACGCATATAAAAATATTCAAAGTGGAAAAAAAGGTAAAGGCGTAGAATGGTTTGCAGGCGGAAACACACGTACTGGTGATGGTGTTGCTTTACTCTCTCGTCCAGATGATGATCCAAATTTCACACCTCTCGATGGAAATGCGAAGCCAGCACCAGAACCTATAGCAGCTCCAGAACCTGTAGTTAGAAATGAGCAATTAGTTCCAGCTAATACTGATCACTCAATAGAAGGACAACCAAAATTAAAAGTTAGAATCGAATTTGAAGATTTAGCACCAATTACAATGACAATATCAAACTCCCAGACAGTCGGAGAGCTTAAACAATTCTTAACTCTTCACCGACCAACTTTACAAGGAAAGAAAATTGACTTTGTCGTGAAGCCAAATAGACCTCTTACTGATGACAGCAAGACTGCTGAGGAAGAGCACCTGAAGATGGCCATGATTAAATGCACTCATAACTAAAAATTACGGATTGCTACAATAATTTTTTGGTTTTAATTAAAATCATTTAGTAGAAACGATCTAAAAAGAATTCAAAAGAATTTTGACCACTAAAGGAATTAATTAAAAGAAATTTCTGAGAACAATATAATATTTTTTTGAAGGAAAATACTAATTATGATATCCTTGGACTCCACACTTAGATGTGAGTATTCTATTTATTTTTCATCACCCATCAACTCTGGTAAATCATGAATAGGAAAATAATCAGTGAAACAATGATTTGAATTTGCACAATTACAAATAAAAACTTATAATGGTTCATATGAGTGATGTTTCACAGCCAAATGAAGAGCTGAAACATCATAATTTATCTTTAAAACTAACATCAACATTTTGAGAAATGAGAATGTAGAAAAATATCATGAATTTGAATAGTATATAAGAAGTAAAGAAAGAATGATGTGTTTGAAGAAACATATTATTCGAAATTTTTTATTATTAAATTAAACTAATAAAAATAAATTCTTACAACTTCAATATCTGCTTGATTTGCTTAATCTGGTCCAGATCCAAATGTTTTGGCCATCTGATATATCTATCAACAATTACATCGCCAAAAACGCCAGGATACATGTATTTCGGAAGTCCTCTTGATTTAATAACAATTGGGTCGGAGAATGGCTTGTTTGAAGTAATTTCGAGCGGTTGTCCGTCTATTCCTTTAACTGTTCTTGTAAAACCGAGGAGAGCCTCTCTAAGAGTGATGTTAACTGTCATGTGCAAGTCATGGCCATGACGTGTGTAAATTGGGTGTGGTTTTGAAACACATTCAACGTCGATATCGCCAGCACCATTTTCTTCGCTAACATCGGCAACACCTTTTAATGAGACGATCTGTCCTTCTTCAAAACCACGCTCTAAGTATGATTTGATTATTTTATGTTCGCGAAGAACAGAGTTTCCTTTGCATTTGTTGCAATAGAATCCGGCAGAAGGACATCTGCACATATTTGTGCGTGAAACATTTAATTCAATAGCTTGTCCTGTGTAAAATGATTCTAACTTAAATGGAAAAGTTATTTTAACAGTAGCACCACGATGTTTGACTTTGTCAGAGTTTGAATTTGCAGATTTTGTTAAGGATACCATAGGATCGAATGCACCTTCCGAAGGAGATTCGTAAAGATGAACTCCTGGTTCTCCGTAGAGATCATAAACGCGTCTTTTGTTTGGATCAAGAAGGGTCTGATAAGCATCGTTGATATCTGTGAATATATCTGCTGATCTTGGATCTTTATTTTTATCTGGGTGATATTTTTTAGATAATTTCATATATGAACGCTTGATTTGAGAATCTGATGCATCGTGAGTGATCTCAAGGATTTTATAGAAATCTCTGTTCTGATCACTTGAAATTAAATTAATACTAAAAAGCAAGGGTAACATTTTGTCACTTTTTCAATTTTTTCACAAGTATAATTAGGAAAATTCGCTTAAATACGATCATTTGATTCTGTTTTATAACTTCTTCGCTCGAATTTTTGTTATTTTCCCATTAGGTACTATGATTAAAAGTGACACGCCTTTTTTTCCTAAGATTACTGATTGCTTCCTTTCTGCTAATCATGCCAGAAACCAAAGGCATGAATTGTTTAGCCTAATTTATTACTCCAACTGGCAACTATAATACAATTAGTTGCATTGTCAGTTATTCAAGCGTAATATTCAATTTATGTTCAATTTCGTTAATTTAAATCTTATTGCAGCAGTACCCCCGCGTTTGATAAGTACAAGATTACACATGCTAAAACTCCACATTAAAAATCGAAATTTTGCATCTCTAATTTCAACAACATAATATACCAAATGTAACAGAGAAATCATCTTAACTAAATAGTTGTCAATATTAGGAATACCACTACAATTCTTCTTCGACAGTACTTTAACTTATCCCTGAAAAAAAATTCAAAATTATTAATTTTTTTTTTATTTATTTAATTATTAACTATTAATTTTATTTAAGATAAATCGGGAACAAGGATGCCATCTCGTATTTAGTTGGCTTCTGCGGAACCTCCATTTTAAGAAACGCGTCTGAATGCCCTTCTGGAGGAGCTTTGATACTAAATTGTCGCATTAACGATCTAGCATATGCACCATAAATTTCATCATGTCCATAATAAAATGTACTATTAATAGAACAGATTGAATACTGGCACTATCCATATTAATGTGCTCCATTGTAAAAAATGGCCTAGATCCATCGGATTTTTGGAATTAAATACCTAATATTATGTTAATTTCTTACGATTGTGTTAATTGATTGGATTATATATAATATCTTGATTTTTGAAATTCTATTGTCTACCAATTTAATTGATCTTTCTTTGGTTGATGATAACCGAACGCCATCAAGAAATATCTCATGAATCTTTCATCAATCCAATTCTGTTCTTTTTGGCTTTCTTTAGACACGACATTCAAAAAAATTGATAAGTATTCACATATCAAGATTAACATGAAAACATCGAAGAAGATTTGCAGTGGTATTTCTCATATTGACAAATATTTAGTTAACATGATATACCAAATGTAGCAGAGAAAAAAAACTGAAAAGTCTTCAAAATTAATAATTTATTTAATTGGTCTATGATTTTTTCTTAATTGGATCTCAACAATTGGGAGCAAGGACACCATCTCGAAATTAGTTAGCTTCGGCGGAACCTCCTGCATCAGTAGAGAAAATGCTGAAATAAGGCGGTACAATAGTATCAGGATTAAATAGACTCAACATTGAATTAGGATTTGAGTTCCCCGAGTAATATGTATTAGGTCCAATATTGTTATAACAATTACTGCCATATGGACTACTGGCACTATTCATACTAGATAAGCCCCATTGATCAATTCCTCTAAAACTGGACTCTCCTGGTTTGGAATACTCACTCATGTTTTGTGATTTGTCAAAAATTTTTGACTAGTAAAAAAAATGACTAGTAAGGAAAGCAGTAATGCAAGGAATTTTACAAATGTGAGAATTTTACTGCTTTCCTTAAAATTCGATTCCAAAAATTTTTGACTAGTAAAAAAAATTTTGACTAGTCAAAAAAGTATTAATTAATATTTATATATTCTTTTTTCACTTCGAAATTTTTGGAATCGAATTTTAAATTTTTTTTGTCAATGCAGATACTCGATTACTAATAGAAGAAGAACGGAAGAAAACTGCAAGAGTGATTTCGAGATAATATTATTACATTTGAACTGCAAATAAATATACTTGTACTATTAATCGGTGTTACAGAATAGACCTTGTATTATTGTATGTTTTGAGAAAAATATCGAGAATTTTTCCATAGATACTAATTTTTCGAGATAAAATGATATAACCTCTACTAGATATTTGTTAGTAGTTTCCCTTATGTGACTAGTAGCTACAAAAATTACTATTGGAATCCGAAGAAAGATATTATCATAGTGATTGTCTTCAATTCCAATATGCTATAATGATATAAATATAAATCAATGTAATATTTACAGACACTTCTAAATTCACTGAATTTATTTGGATGAATGTCTTGATCGGACATTCAAAAATTTAAAGTCATCACGTTTAGACATATTATCAAAGAAAATATAATTTTCGACTATACTATTCTTACAAATTATTTTTATGAACTTAATCAAAGTTCATTCAATATTACTGCGTTATTGGACTAATTTTTAAATTTTATGAAGATTGAGTGATGTCTAATATATTTCGTGTGTCACTATACATATTATAATTAAAATAGAGTAAACAAAATGTTTAAAATTCGTTAAATTTAAAATTCGAAAACATTTGTTTGATTTTATTTGAAATATAAGCTGAATATGGAATCACATTACATTGTTCTATGAGATAATGTATGAGAGAAAGCAGTATATGAATTTGGAATGTTAGTGTAAGTTAACAATTTATCGAGAATGAAATAAATATTGCAATTTACAAAAACAATGATGTAGCATAAGAGCTTATAGGAAAATCAAGTAAATAAAATCGAAATAGGTAGTTATTAAAGTATTAAGGGAAATTAAATCTAATGATAAAGAAAATAATGAAATAATATCTAGGTACAATTGCATTATTAAAGTCTTCTATGGATAGATATTAATTAATGAAACAAGTTTGGCGTAGATATGATGGTGATAAAATAATTTAGTAATAAAGTTGTACAAATATGCTCATTTGTTAGAAAATTGATGTCCATGATCATGTGAGAAATTATATCATTAAAAAATGACTTCTAAATAAAATTATATAAAGAATATCGCTAGAAGAGAATATTATGAATAGGATATTATCTTATTTGTTAAAGGTTTTCATTTGTTAACATTTAATTGTCTATCCGACTTCATGAAAGATCATTTGGAGAAACTTTTTTCATGTCTCAGAATTATAACAAAATTTTGTCACTTTAGAATATAATTTTTTCTTATTGTAATATAACCAATAGTACATCTTTTATATAATTTTCAATAGAGATTTTCCGTCACTTTTGTTTTTTCTGCCAAACCGATCTCTATACAGTAAAATCTCCATACAATGATGATGAATTTGTCACTTTTTTGATTATAGAAGTTTTGAATCTTTTCAGCAGAGCGAATTTTCCCGAGCCCGAATCAGGCACACCCCTATTCGAGCTCGAGGATATTCTCACGACTCTGTCTGACCATCGGCAATCAATGAGTAAGATCATGGATGCGAGATCAAAAGTTGGATTTATTTTACACAAATGCTGTTGCCAAAATGCGATAACTACCCTGACAATATTAGTTGGTATAATGAGCATAACACCATTTTCTTCAACATTTTCAACAGTTCTCGAAGCTTCAATTTCGTATTGCCTTCAATACGTTTCTGTTCAGGATAGAGACCAGATAACTAAATATTATTCAGAAGTATTTCGCAAGCATATCAATTCAGACGAATCTGATCATTTATCAAATCTTTCACAATTTCTCCAATCAGGAGGCTGTAAACTGATTCCTCAACCGAATATACTCTTACAAGACTTACTAAATTTATCTTCGAAGATAGGAAACGCCGTTTTTAAACCTGCAGGCTTTTTGATAGATTATAAGCCAGAAATAATGTCACAAATCTTCTGGGAGTGGTTCAATGCTAATAAAACAATATCAAATGGGTTAACGTCAATCAGCGAAGTCATAATTTACTCAAAAAATCTTTTAATTCCAAATTGTTCAAATGATTTTATCAAAAGCATAATAAAAGAGTGCGAAAATCGAATAGATAACAATCTCCCATTCAACGTCATTGAAACATCCCTATTAATCCTAAAATGGCTTACATCATTAGAAAAATACGAGCCATTCAAGATTTTTCCCAGTTTTGACCACAACGCGTTGAATGGTCTTGCATTAGATTGTTGGGCCGAGTACGCAGTATACGGAAACCTCACAAATTTACCAAATTTTCAAATCTCAACTGAACAAACGTTCGAAAAAGGGTATTTACAGATTCTTTCCAATGCAGTTATGAATCCCAAGTTCTCCTTTAAGACGTTACGCATTCCTCATTGGGTTTGGCACTCATGTTTATCAGAATTTGGATTTCCATCCGAAATCCCTCCGAAATCGATCCTATCGTTATCCCTAATCGAACTAGATTGTTGTATCAAGATCGCCCACATCCTTCCCCGTGAATTTTTTATACATGCGATGCGATCAAGATCCAAGAACCCAGATATCACATCCCGACTTATCCAAATTGTTTCCTATACCCCACAATGTATCATGCAGACATATTTTTCCGATTTTGAAGACTTTGTCACTTTCATTTTGGATCATCATTCACTTTCCAAGGAATTATCGAGTTGTTTCCGCAACAACATCATTGCTATACGAGATTCATTGCATATCCTTATTAACCACATCTGTTCCGGCCTTGATTACTTCAAAGAAGAAAAAATTTTGGGAAGATTATTTTTATTGAACCAAATTTTTGTTTTTTCACATGATTTAATATGTTATATTGACATATATGACTCCATCTGGGAAGCTCTTTCTCTTATACCCCTTTCTTTGAGTCTTAGTTTAGTTTTATTTGATTTTTTCAACGCATTGGCAAAATTTGTCAATAAAGATAGGCAAAAACGACTTTCCAAGCTATGTGTTGCCGTTCTATCAGCTGTTAACAGTAACAACGAGATACCATTGTTGATTGTTAATGACGACATAGCTATGAAATTCTTTTTTTCTGCGAAAGAATTTTATTCATTTATTAATTCAGACTTGATCAGCGATCCAGACTATAATATACAGAAGACATATGTTCTATCATCACCCGCGCTTAAGATTCTCAAGCAAATCTACAAAACAAAGGAAATTTTAGATTATATTTTTTATAATTTACCAAATTTTTTGGAGATTTGTCCAACAGAGACAACAGCGCTTGCCACAGAACTTATTGATGATTGTTTCTACGAATACAAGAAGGAATACTTGAGATTTTGTACAAATTTGTCAAAAATCATGAAGCAAAACTCATGTACACCACTTGTTATGTTGATAAGTTACTTCCAGACGAAGATTTCTGTGTATTTGGACTATAAATTCGATGTTTTGTTGAAATCTAACATAATGAAACTTCCTGACGATGAAAATTTAGTTAGATTGAACATACAACTCAATCATGGTATTGTTCCTATGTTAGTTTCATCATCGAAACATTTGTTTTTGATGTTGGAAAACTGGGCTCCTCCAACTTCTGATGTTTTTTTGAATGTCGTGTCTAAAGAAAGCCAAAAAGAACAGAATTGGATTGATGAAAGATTCATGAGATATTTCTTGATGGCGTTCGGTTATCATCAACCAAAGAAAGATCAATTAAATTGGTTGACAAGAGAATTTCAAAAATCTTTTTCTTTGAAATTTGACACAGAAAAAATTGAAGGGAAAAGTGACATTTTGACAGAATTTTCTAAGTTTTATCCATTACCTAATAATTATAATGCATTAAGTATTGCTAGTATGTATTGTAATAGTCCGAAAGTTTATCCATTCCTTGTTAATTTTCTTTCTCCTATTTGTAATAATTTAGTTGAAGAAAATCCAAATGAATTTTGGTTGTTGAGGTTGTTGGGTCATTTAAACATAAAATACAAGTTCCCGGTCGACAGCAAAGATAAGTTTTGCCGTGCATTGGGTGTAAGAAATCGTTGTATCCCTGCTCCAAATCCTCAAAATGCAGGTGACGGTTTTTTGGCGGTTGAAACATTGACAGCGTATAATTCTAAAATGGAAAAGGAAAAGACTAATGATTTGTTGAAACTATTGAAGTCGCAAATGCTCAGATTAAAGTTTGGATTGAGAGGAAGTGAAGTGACAGAAAAATTTTTGAGAAAATTAATGAAAAGTGACACTATTTCACAGAAAATTAATTTCTTTTTCCATTTATCTACATTTGCTGAGATTACTAGTAATCCTGTATTATTAGAAAAGAACAAATCTGTTACTTGCCAGATGATTTTGAATTCAGACATGAAATCACCAATTGTTTTTCGAGAAATTTTTCTTTTGATTGTTAATTTGGTCACACAATCGAGACATTCATTTGATTCTTCTGAGATATGCGATGCATTTCTTCAGGCAATTCCGAAAGATGTGAAAGATGTTCAGATCTATGAAAGTCTTCCTATTTTACTCGGAATTATCCAGATTGCAGGAATCAACGCAAAAGGAACAAAAGAAATCGTTGAAAGTCTGAAACATGAAGAGTTTAACTTCGTCAATGTACAGGACTTCCAATCTGTAAGGAAAACTATTATTAATTTATGTTAATTTTATTATTTTTGTTTTATTATTATTTTTTTGTTATTTTTTGTATATTATTACTTTTTTAAAAAAATATTTTATATTCGTTTTTGTTTGAAACAATATATATTTACGTACATCTGACATTCATTCAAAATTCTGACAACTAAAATAAACAGCCATTGAAAATTAGCATTAAACATCAAAATTGAATGTCATGTCATACAGGCGTAAGTACATACTCTCATAACATAATATTTCGTTCTATAGAAAGTGCTATAATAACTTTTTACCTACTAAAAATTATAATTAGGATATAAAGTTAGTGTTGTAAGTAAATAAAAAAATAAGATAAATTGTCAGAAAGTGGTAAGTGCACTCTTAAAATAGGGTATTGTTAATTTAAATTTACAAAATTGGAGAAATCATATATTTTTGAATTTGGAGATCCCAGTCGTCATTTATCTAAACAAGATCCTTATATACAATATTTCATCTTCATTGTGTTTTTTAAAAATCAACTTTTTGGAAACTTCTGCTTATTAATATTATATATCGTCGCTCCAAAATAAATAAATACATTATGAAATAGTATTACTATTATATTGTACAATCTCAGATCAAAATTTGGATAACTTATGGACTTTGTTTTATAAAGTTTACGTATCGTTTTAATGCACTCTAAATGGGTCTCGTAAGAACTATCACAATCGACGGCGTTAAATATGTCATGCAATACCCTGGACCACAAAAGAGAACTACGGGAACTTTCATTGCAGCCGATGAAATTGTACTCGCTCTTGGATGCATTTTTAGTACTACGCCTGAAATTTATGCTGAGATGATATATGATTTGCTCCACTTAAATCAAGAAACAGTACAACCTTGGGATGTTTACAATGTTGTATTGGAAAGCAAGTTTTGGAAAATTTTCAAAATTTTACTTGGTATTAGTCATGACATGATGTTTCGTGCTCATTTCTTTACTATATTTCAGTGCATAGTTCAACTCATGCCAGATGATCTAAAGAAAGTAAATCCAAAAGTAATGTTTATTTTAGAATGTACAGCAAATGACTGATAATGAATTGCCTTAATAATGTAAAACGAACAAATAAACCATATTTTATTATTTATACATATTTTTTTAGGGATCCACGTTGATACATGAAAGGATTGAAAACCTCCTTTTTTTAACTATGTTAATATAAAATGTCAATGAGTCAGAGCATACACCATAAACATGGTTTTTCGAAGAAAATCATAGTAATTTAACACCAGGATCTAATAAATTTCGAAAAATCGAAAGTTGATCTTATTTATTTGAATTTCCTATAAGCTCTTATGCTACATCATTTTTTTTAAAATTGCAATATTTATTTCATTCTCAATAAATTGTTAACTTACACTAACATTCCAAATTCATATACTGCTTTCTCTCATACATTATCTCATAGAACAATGTAATGTGATTCCATATTCAGCTTATATTTCAAATAAAATCAAACAAATGTTTTCGAATTTTAAATTTAACAAATTTTAAACATTTTGTTTACTCTATTTTAATTATAATATGTATAGGGACACGTAAAATATATTAGACATCACTCAATCTTCATAAAATTTAAAAATGAAAATAACAAGTGGGAATCCGAGTTCAATAATAGATTTTCTATAAGTAAACTATCTGTATATTATATTCCCCTGAACTAATGTATGAAAATTTATAATTTATTTAGAGAATTGAATTTTATTAAATTTTTATTTAGTTTGAATATTAATATTATAACTAGTGACTCAAAGTAAAATCCATAGTTGGTTGTATGCCTAAAGATTTATGTTATTTGTTGAAACTTATATTTAAAAATGTGTTTGCATAACATTTGCGTATGACCTCAATAAACTCTTCTTTGAAAGATTTATTAATGACTAGGAATTATTGGGTACTTTTAGAAAATTTATTAAATCAAATTTTGATTATTCAACAAAATGCCACTAAAGTCAAAATTCTGTAAATGAAAATATTGTTATTGACGTGTGCATCTTCCGATTACTATTTGTTTTAAATCTGTAGGTCGAAATTTCGAGAATTGAAATAAATAAGTTTTAAACAGTATGGATCTGTTCCTTTATAGGTATACATGGATGTGGTATATAAATGCAAAGGTCGAAGTTTAAGATATATTGCGATATTCATTCATCAGCAAAACTGTACGTTAATTCCTTTGTTGTAAAAAATATTTGAGAGAAATTGAATAGTTTACACACAAGTTACATCCGAGTTGATGTATACAAAAATAAAACCCAGCAAAATTAAATGAATTTTGATTTGTAATAAACAGAAATTCATCAAAAGTGACAGCTCTCAATTTTTGACATTTGTAAATTCTAAATTGAATGAGAAAAATGAAATAATACTAAGCATAATACAATATTCTAGATTTAATTATAATTAGGAAAAAGTTAGTTTTGAGAGTACTTTTCATAGGCATATAGAATAAAATCTTCTGAAAAATAATATCACATAAACTCATATTATTTTCTAATATATAACTATTTTATATAAAAATCAAATTCAATGATCTTAAAAGCGAAGGATAAACCTCAAAATTTACGAATATAATGAGTGGGAATATAATGCTTATCTATCATAAAACCATATGAAATATCAATTTTTGCTTTACGCCTAATTTTTGACGACAATTAGCAAAAAATGTTAAATGTTAACACTCAGTCCATTTGAATATGAAAAATAAAATTGACTTTGATTAAATGTTTTTATTTATCATGCAATTCTTCTTGCGACCAAAGATTTGAATAAAAGTTCAAAAAATAAGATAGCTTAAAAAATAATATACGGTAGTGTTTACTAATAGATGAATAGTATATAAATTCTATTAAAATGGATTTGATCCAAAAAAATATATAAAATTTGATCATAAATAAAATCGTTTTAAATTACTTCTTCATTTAAATTATAACAATTATTTTTGGTTTTATATTTTTTTGGATCAAATCCATTTTAATAGAATTTATATACTATTCATCTATTAGTAAACACTACCGTATATTATTTTTTAAGGATACCCTTACATTGCGTAGTTAGAAAGAGAATATGATATTGTCATGATTGCTAAAGTTTTAGGCTCCAGAAATGAATATACATCAAACTGAAACAATTGATAAATTGAATGAACTTTTGAGAGGTTCTCAAATAAAAAAAATTATCTAATTTTTTACAATATTACTATTATTTTATCTACATATGTATATATAGTAATTTGAGAAAACTTTTAGGAAAAAATAAGTTTAATAAAAATCTGAATTTTACTTGTTGTGGGATTGTTATTAATTGACACTCCAGACGTATTACTAATAGTTATGCGTATGCAATTAAAGTATTTCTGATGGACAAAATGTGAGATTTATATCAGATAATTCATTTCTACTATTAAGTTATTCATTTATGAGTTTGCACTTATTCGCACTAAATAAATAACTATTAAAAATTGTTTTAATTAATTGACACCATATAATAGAGTGAATTTTGTTTGATCAAACAACAATAGATGATAGATATAAAGCCAAGAAACTTGCTATTAATATGCTCTACTTGCTATTTCAATGTAAGTATGATATTTTCTAAATGTTTCGTTCAGATAACTTAGATATATTAGTCAAAATTTGAAATTTTAATAGCACATATATTAAAAATAATTATTATTCATAAAAGATTAATGAAATAGTAAAAAAAATCAATCAAATTATAAAAATACAACATTTAGAAGAATTCTTATTATCCTTCAAAAAGTCAGTATTTCTGCTGTAATTTTCTACAACATTGTAGTTATTGCACTTTGTCTATGGATTTGTATATATGTTATATATAAATTATATATCTAAACTGCCCATAAGTGCAATTTTTATATAAATTGTTTATTTCTTTAACAATTTCATATAAAATATGCTTTTTTAAGCGTATCAAAGCTGTGTTCTTAATGTGCATGGATATATCAAGAAAAATGTCGAAAAAAATGTGAATTCACAAATTCACTGAATTTTCACCGTTTTTTGAATTTTGCTACAGCACTAATATTAAATAATACTAAAATCTTCTGTCTTTGTAAAAGAATAAATTCTGACAAAAAGTGCTCGTTTAAATTTAATGATCATCTGTATGACTAAGTGGTAAAAAGTGTTTATGACCAAAAAAGGGTTACATGCTTAGTCTATTTTTCTGACAGGATACTCTAGATTTACATGATCTCTATTTCATATCTCCGTTTTTAGATTCTTCGACAGATTTTATGATAGAAAACCAAGATTAACAAATTTCCGGCATGTTAATGAAGAAATCTGCAGCTACCCTCAATATTATTTCAATAATCAGTATCGTTTCTCTTACAATTTATTTTTTTCTCAATAATTTAACAAGAAATAACAATACACACTTGGTTTTACGTATAAAAGCTAAGTGTCGAACTTAATCAACTTTACTTACTTAGCAAATGAATATTTTTGTGGTTGCGAGTTCTGAATGCTGAAGTTTTAGATTTCTCTATAAATGATATCATTGCACTTACAATGTTGTTCCAGCCTATCGCATAAATCATAGAAAATCCAAAAAAAAAAATAATATAAAGAAAATTCATGTCATGAAGTTCAAAAAATACCGTGTAACATTAAAATTGTTATGCATAATACATTTTAGCTATTATTGATTTTTTTTAATTTTCGAGAAATTGAATGGTGAGTCCGATAGAGAAATTTTTAAAAATCCTAGTGCCTCATAGAAGTAATTTCCCTCGTCTCCCATACTTCCAAATGTATGCATATGACATAAACTTTTATGCATTACACAAGTGGCCAATAATATCTATAGAGTAAAAAATTAGAAATTTAATTTTTTTATATGATAGTTATATTTCAGATTTGCGAGCGTAACTTTTTTCTCCATGGCATACTTGTTTTAAGAGCAAATGATCAAAATCGTCCTTCAATTATTGAAGGAGCTGATATCTTTTGAAAATTGAATTGAAAGGGTATTCAATTTTCAAATTTCCTCTCAATTTTGGAAACATATCAACTCTATGAATTAACAATTATGTGCCTTCACAGTTTATCAGTCATATAAGGTGCTTATAAAGAAAAAAAGTTACGCTCGCAAAATATGTTTTTATATAGATTTCACATAAAATAATTATGTAATTTCTAAAAAGAATATTTTTGTTCTTGAATATTAAAGTGTATTGTAGTTTAAAAAGTTTTAAATATGTTGCTAAAATTTCAGGTTTATAGCTCATGTCTAGCATGACTTCTTCGTATGCGCAAAAAATCTGACACGTAAGGGTATCCTTAAGCTATCTTATTTTTTGAACTTTTATTCAAATCTTTGGTCGCAAGAAGAATTGCATGATAAATAAAAACATTTAATCAAAGTCAATTTTATTTTTCATATTCAAATGGACTGAGTGTTAACATTTAACATTTTTTGCTAATTGTCGTCAAAAATTAGGCGTAAAGCAAAAATTGATATTTCATATGGTTTTATGATAGATAAGCATTATATTCCCACTCATTATATTCGTAAATTTTGAGGTTTATCCTTCGCTTTTAAGATCATTGAATTTGATTTTTATATAAAATAGTTATATATTAGAAAATAATATGAGTTTATGTGATATTATTTTTCAGAAGATTTTATTCTATATGCCTATGAAAAGTACTCTCAAAACTAACTTTTTCCTAATTATAATTAAATCTAGAATATTGTATTATGCTTAGTATTATTTCATTTTTCTCATTCAATTTAGAATTTACAAATGTCAAAAATTGAGAGCTGTCACTTTTGATGAATTTCTGTTTATTACAATAATATTATCATTTGAGTTATTATCAAAATTTCAAAAGAATTTTCAAAAAATAATCCGCGAAGGAAAATCCTTCAAATAATGCAATTATGGTTATTTTCCTAAAAAGATTATTGAAGATATTTTTGATATCATTCCGTATAATAACCGCTATGCAAAGTCATACTTTGAACTTGTCAAACATATATATGATGATTATAATGTTACAGGG